AACTTATCAACGGTGTTTGTGGTCAGTCATATATTGAGTGCTAAAGGTGTCCCCTGAATGGAGGTTAGACCCAGGTGCTGGGACCCAGAAAAAGTGTCCCTTTCCCCTGAATAGACGTGTCCCTTCAACAAAGGTAAAAAATACAACGATTATGTGAACAATTCTCTGGGACCACTGCCTGCAATCTAGAATCCAAGACTGTCTTAGATTCCCATATATGGGACGACTCTCTGCTGATGTGCACTACATTTAGGGGCATGTAGGCCCGGTTCAGATGCCGAACTTTTCATGAGCCGAACCTAATACATTTATTAAGTGCATGAAACGTTCGGCGTCTGAATCAATCAGGAACGCCTAATATTTCAATTTGGAATGGCTCAGGCGTTCTTTTCGCCCAGCCCGGCCGGGAATTCCGCCTTTGCAGCGACTTTGGAACGGCTTTGATTCAGACGCCGAACTTTTCATGTACCGAAGCTAAAGCATAAATTATCATAACGTATTTTGTAAGCAGTTTGACCAAAATGAGCATTTTTCTCCTTTTGAATTTAGTCAGCTGCAATTAAGATCGGCGTCTGAATCAATTCAGCCGTTCTTAACAATCTGGGTCGGCTTTAATTCGAATTAGGTTCAGCTCAGGAAAAGTTCGGCGTCTGAATCGGGCCTAAGAGTGCATAAAATAGCCATTCTTTCACGTGGTTTATATTAACAGGTAGGTTTTCCTCCACCTTTTAGTAACCCTTTGAGTGACTTCAAATTAGGGGCTCACCGGGGACTTCAGGAATGCAGAAATCAGTTTGCGAACGACAGCTTGTGGAACTGTACATTTGATTGGAAGCACGTTGATTCAGAGTTGCCCGTTTTTGTCAACAGCACACTTCCTTGTGGTAAGATTGTTTACATTTGTGATCTAAAAATATAATCAGGTCTTAATAGATCCTACGTTCTTCGGCATATTCGTTTGCGGTCCTTTGCAGTCTTTTGTGGTTAATGTTTGTACTTTATGTATTCTGGGGCCGTAACGTAGATCTTTTATAGATCCAATATGCCGTAATTCTTGCATGGTTCTGTCCATGTTTTAGAGGTTGGTTTTAGTCAATTCTTTATTTTCTCTGCGAGACATCAACTTGACACTTGGACTCTTGCGCCCCAGAAGACACGCGGTATGGTGTGATTCTGTGGGTGTTGAGAGTTCTAGGTCAGGGTTTAAATCAGAGTGCGCAGATATTTTTCATCAGAGCTTTCTCTGGTTGTTACGCCATACTGACGATCCCCCAAGAGGGCGAAACAGCTGTCTATGGCTACAAACCCGGTCTGTTTTGAGCTCTTTCGGTGTCGTGTAGAATAGTTAATTTTCACGTAGTACGGTCAGCATTGCAGTATTCTGCTTGCAGAATTTAATATGTCTAAAAATATAATATTCACACCTAACTGCAATAATGTTGTCATAGAAAATTTTTAAAAAGGCCAGTAGAAAAAGCTATGTGAGTAAGACACACGCACGTTCAGGGATCTGATCTGACCCCGGAGAAGGGAGGGGGCAGATCATCGACCAATATTTGAGTATAGGTGAACCATTGAGGGTTTGAGACCCTACCCCTATTTAAGGCAAAAAGTCCTAATCCTAAAAAATCCTTGGGCATTACCCTCATATAGGACAAAGGACAAAATGTATGCCGTCATTTATATTATTGGCGTTGCAATTGAGGAAATTCGTGTTACAGTCACTGCTTTGGTATCGCGCCTTGAAGTACGAACAAAATTCATCAAGCTAATCAAATCGATCGTGCATGCAACACCATGTTTATGATTGGGACAGACACGCACGAAATTATATAACTTGTTTAGGAAAGACTCAGGCTATTCCCCTCTCCCCTCCCCCTCCCAATGCTTTTTTTTGTTTGTTTGTTTGTTTTTTTTTTAGCCTGTTGCCAGGTTTTTTTATTGTTATTATTAACGATTTTTTGACAACAGTGGCGACAAAATAAAATAAAATAAAATAAAATGAAGAAAAAATGGAGAAAAAAAATAAATCCAATAAATAAAAGAAGAAGAAAAAAACATAACATATAATAACGGAAAGCCGAGGAAACGAAGCATTAATGCTACTACTATCACTACATCATTACACTAAACAAAAACACAACGCACAACGCACAACGCACAACACACCTACATCGCTATACACTAACACTAATATATAGATTTAGCCAGGGCTAAAAGCGAAGCTCTCGATAATATTTATAGTTTGTTCAAACAAAATATAAAATCATGTAATGCTAAGCGGCGAAGGCAACGCCGGAGAACGGTGAAAAACGACAATTGGTCTAATTAGCAAAAAAGCAACTTTGCATGTGCAGCACACTTTTTTTGTACATTTCTTTGCCGTTGTTTTGCATGACTACAACGTGAAACTTCCAGGAACTTCTTAGTTACACCACAGGCGGCCCAGACGTAATATGTGTCACTGAATGAATATATTAATATTCACATGGACAAATTAATGCGATGAGTCGTCGAAACTCCCATGAACTAAAATAGTCCAAAAGTCAAAATATGACAAACTAAAGCTAAGATACCTTCAACTGAACGTATCCTTGTCTTTCCTAGCCGGTCTAAGTGGCATTTTGTTGAGTTTTGCAATTGTAGGTACTATCCACTAAAGAAGAGTTAAAGGCTGGCTACAAAACAAACGGACCATCTCCACGCGCCTTCACACGAAGCGCTATAAATTCGAGAATAATCGACGAATCCGCTCCAAATTGCCATCGGCTAATCTGCAGGTAACGTGTGCTCCTGCTTCTTGCTCGCTGGCTCCACAAAACCCATCGCAACTGCACAATAATTGCTCGCTCATCAACAACCACTGTTGGCCTTTACGCTTCGATATGACCGCAAACTACCAGGTTTAATACGCGACGTGAATATTCAAGCTTAGCGACCGCGTTCGCGCAACAATGCAGCACTTGCTATGGGAGGGATCCATTTTCCTCTTCATTGACTCTTTAGTTGTTTCTGCTCTACAAGACACGGGTAGCTATGCGATTTCCCGTCAAAATAACCTCGAGTTGCATTTAGGTTGCCATACCTGTTGATTGAGTTATTTTACATTGGTATGCCTGTGGTGGGGACGGACGGTCGGCGGTCGGTGTACGGTCACGTGATTACCAAATTTTCTCGGATGGGTAGTTTACCACATTTTCTTACCCACGGTGCTCCGCTGCGCGCTTCGCGCTCGAGAGCTCCGCTACTAGATACCAGGCAAGCCCCACCTGAAGAAACAAATACGAAAAAGCTACATTGGTGGAAGTTGTTGTGAAACGTGGTGATAGCCGAAAGTTCCATCAACGGCAGGAGAGATCGAGGTTTCCATTTTTTATTGCGGAAGTGGAGTTTGTTGTTTTTATTCGCAATGAAACGTTCGATTTGGTATGTTTTTTTCTACATTTTGCAAATAAAAGGCTAGTCGAGAAAGGTGATTTACTTAACTTTGAACGAATAATCAGATATGTGTCTCTAATTCTTCATTGCAGAAGTAGCATAATGGAGTTTCAGCTAAACCAAATTTGAACAACATGACATCTGTGTAACAGATTCTATGAAGTATTTTGTAATGAAACTCTCTTAATTTTGTGTCCAGCGTTATTATGAAAGTAGACTGTTCACAGTCCCCTATTTTTCCGTGAGATCGTCGAGACCGAGCGCGTCCTACCATTAATGGCGGCCATCTTGATTTTCAGTCGTACCGAGTCTAACCTGGGGATGAGTATCAAATCTACTTAGGGGGCGGGGGACGGTTTGAGCTATAATCCCCGACGCCCGCCCCCTCGGTACATCTAAAAATCAAGATGGCCGCCATTAATGGTAAGACGCGCTCGATCTCGACGATCACACGGAAAAATAGAGGACTCTGAACAGTCTATTATGAAAAGTAATGAGTACACTGTTTCCCAGTGTAATTGAAAAGTCTCAGTTGAGCATTTCGTTATATTTTTTCATAGCCGTTGGCTCGGAAGAGATTTGAGAAGAACGGGTTTTATACAATAAGATTGGATCTTATCTGTATAAATCTTTTTCCCTTCAAGATGTAATGAAAACCTGTTCAAATCTATGTGGTGTTCGTTTCTGAATGAGGTCATGAATCCATTCGCTTTTAACTGTTTGTGCCAAACCTCTGGGATGGCGTCAAGGAAACTAACAAGTAAAAAATGATCAGTTGGCGAGAGGTGTAAAAGGCGTGGAAAGCTAAGTCCCTTGAAGTTTCCATTTGAGTCAAAAATGCCCCTAACAGTTAAGAATCCCGCATCAATTAATTTATGCATATGGTTGTAAACTGAACGAGAATACACATGAACCTGGGATACCAGCAAGAAACCTATTTCTGGTCAGAAAAATTTATAAAACTCAGCTGAGAGTCCGTCGTTCCCTGGAGTTTTTTTGTTTTGGAAAGTCGACAGAACTCAGAAACTATTAATTGACCTTCGCACATCTCTCTCATGGCATCATTTAGTTTAGGAACTGTTGACGAGTTCTCTACAAAGGGACAGCTAGTAAAGTCAGTTTGAATCCCCGGTTTTTTGTCTTAAAGATCGAATAAAAATTAAAGATTTCCTTTTATTAGTATGACATTAGCATCTGTGGTCTCTTCTCCATCTGGAATAAATTGAGAAAATATTTCTTGTATTGCTTTCACCGTGTTCATACCAAGTAGCACGAGAACAGGTTTTTGAACCTCCTACAATATAATCACATTCTTTTTCGTACTCCATTTTATATATAAGTTTCTAAATTTTCAAGGTACTGCAAAAAAATATGGCAAAAAAATATACCAGGAGTACCTGGATATCCAAAATCCACCGCATTAAGAGCCTTAAGATACCCTCTCTGTCCCATAATATTTTTGATACCCTCTCTGTCCCATAATATTATGGCTCTTGACTGCGTGAAATCCATTTTCTAAGACTGTCATGAATCCCTTCCATGAGTGACTTTTTACTGATTTTCTTACAGCCACTCCCGAGACAGCCTTTCTCCACGCCATCAGCGCCGCCGCCATTACTTACGAACTAACCCTAAAATGCCGGTATAACATAGCGGGATGCTCTTGTGTGACACGTCGAGTATCTAATAGTCGGTCGGTAAAGTCAGGATGTGGAGATAATGTTGAGTATGGGATGGAACAGACAAGGCGATTTTTCGATGAAATAGAAACTGGAAACGACGCTCGGACAGCAATGAACAGGCATAACAACAGAGTCGGAAGAGAGGTACGGGTAGTTGTAGTTACAAGACTGTTTGGATTGAAGACCATTTTAGCAAGTCTTGATGTTTTGGTTTCTCACCTTAGGTAAGCATCAAAAACTTGCTAGAATGGCGTTTATAGGGCAGGTAACAGTAAGATACCAACGCAGACACAACTCTTTATGAGGAATGCTCAAGACGTTTAAGGCCTGGGTCAAAGGTGTGGTCTGGACATATGAATGATTGGCAATATCTCCCTAGAACAAAATGAAATTTTTCCCCAAAAGTAAATCTTGAGGTTTTTGTTGTGCCTTAACGTTTAATTATGGTCACGTGACCAAAAATTTGAAATGAAGGAAATTTCGAATTAGTAGCGAACTTACTTTGTTTGGATAAATAAATTGGCATTTCTGAGAGATGTAAACATGCCTAACTTTCTACGTTTGGAATGAATGTAAAAGAAGTTTAAAATTAAAGTTTTCAATAATTCAAGATTAAGTTTGGGCATTTTAAATGGTGTTTTTCCTCATAACTTTTTGTTGAAGTTCAAAGGACGGTCATTCCAAACGTGAAGTGTTAGAAATATTTAATATGAATTAGAAAAACGTTATTGCTAGATTTCTTTTCTTAAACTGGCCACCAATTGGTCAATAATTTACGATTATTAGCAAAATGGCCATGTGACATATCACGTGACTTATTAACACAATATTTATTCCTTAAAATATTAAGGACGATGAGTTCTTTATGTGTGCCAAATTTTGATTCAGCGCCATCATCTATGCCGAAGTTATAGCTAATAAATCATTTTCCACAGGTAAACCCCTTAGTCCCAGGCCTTAAACTATCTGAGGTATGGAACGTTTTTTTCTTTTCCTTTATTACCCCCCAGGGTTTAAAAGCAGTGGTTAAGTGTACTTACGGGGTATCTATAAATGAGCATGTGTTCTAATCATTTTTAGTTTTTAGCACCATTTAAGAGGTTGGAACCCTTTTTTCCTGTTACAGGTAGTCGGATCTAGCCTTGTTGACTGGTGTAAATCATGTCGTGACGTCATTACACGATCCAAGTTATGGGCTCCTGACAAGTCGAAGACTTGCTGGAAGATACTGCCTCCTTTTCAAGACATTGGAACAATGCTAAAGAAAAAATACCACAATGCTGTGCCGGTGTTGTTAGTTGGCAACAGGCTGATGGAGAAAGTTGGTGATAATATGAGAGCCATACAAAACAACGATACAAAGCTTGTTTATCTTGATCCCTCCTCGAATGGCTGCCTCCGAGATGACACCATGACCTCACCCAATAATGAAATGTTTGAGACAAAGTCATGTAAGAGCGTATCTCGCGACAAACCCAACTGCCATTTTTTTTCAGCTCTGTGCAGCTATTTCGGAATGAGACAAGAAACAGTAACAGAAACAGTGAGGAAGACTAGGAGACCTCGGTTCTGCTTAGGGGGTTACATGTACAGAAGGAGACGAACCTTTCACAAGACCACGACAACGACCTGTCACAGTAAACCTCAGGGTGTTAAAGCTATTTGATCTAAGAGGGTTTTGTGCCTTTTTTTTTTCCTTTTCCCATCCATGCCTTTTTGGTGTCCAGTTTTGTGTTAAGATATTCCTTTATTGTTTTCAGTAAGTTCTTATTTTGCATGGCACTTAATTTTGTGATATAGCGGCCCTGGGAAGAAGTTGGGTGTATGTTATGACAATATTGAGTGTTCGACTTACGGACGAATGATTATAGTCTAACTTCCATCCAAGTTGTACTTTAAAATTTTGATACGTTCATAACTGGCGGAGTCGTCCAATACGGAATTGACTATTTCAGCTCATAAGTTATGAGGTTCGACAGGAGTCAGGAATTTTGTTCAGTGACACTCAAGAATATCTCCATGATTGCTTTGATTTAAAAGTTTTAAGTCTTCTATTTAGAGCAAATTTCTAGACTACATAGGTAATTTTCCTTGACACTTCGAGGCACGACAAATACCGTAAACTGTCCCTTATAAGCCCCCCTACCCCCCCCCCCCCTCCCGTGTTATAGGCCAATCTAGCTTTGAATAAAAAATAATCGGATTATACCCCCGGCCCCTTACGCCGATATAAGTACCCTGCGAGCAGAGGCTACACTTTTGCTGTGTGAGCTGTCGTGTGAAAAGTAGCCTCTGCCTACAACCGTTCAAATCCGTCCAGAAATCTGGACGAATAAATAAAAAAACGGGTTTTTCCTGTGCTTGACCGGTTTAGAGCATTGCGTGAGTCTTGCGTAGCAGATCAGAGTCGTCGCAATTTTTTTTATTCCCGCGAAACTCGCGCCATTTGACGACAGACCGTGACGATTAATTTTGCTTGCGAATCGCCTGACGAATTTCGCGCATGCACGATAGAAAATTGAACGGTTGTCGGCAGAGGCTACTTTTCGCACTGCACGTCACACACAAAAAATGTAGCCTAAGCCAACATTATCACTTTCTTCTCACTTAGGGCAAAATGTTGGCTTAGGGAGGAGGGGTAGGTCATAACCTCACCATTTAGACTGCCCTCCTGAAACCCCTTACAAAGAAGTGCAAGCCCAGGGTTTATAAACGGCAGTTCACGGTAGGCCATTTCCGAGTTCCAAAAACTCTCTTTTCAAACTGCGACTATCTGCAAAACCTTGTGAAAATGAATCTTTATTTGCATGAGAATAAAAAATTGATTTCATACCAACGAATTTGCACCCAGCCTCGATTCAAAACATGAGAAGTTTGCACCAACTCAAAAATAAACGGCCTATTCTGTTCTATGCCACACGATTTCGTTTTACCGTTATATTAGCAGGAACAGTTCTGATTAGTGTTCTTCCATTTATCTGCGATTGCGATATGTTTTTAGTCTTGAAAATTGCTCGATTTTGCATGTTATGACTCATTTTATACGAGGTCAGTAGATTTATACGATATTGTTATCAAGTGATTAGAATGTTGATTACAAGAAGTTAAATTAAAATTATAATTAAAAATTATCGTCCCTTTTTTTCAGTTTCTTTGTCTTCCTCGTTCCTAGGGCTTTGCCGGCCTAAGGGAAAAGCCCTGATGAAGTGGTTGTTGTTCTTTTTATGATTATTATTTTTTAGTCATATCATTTAAAATAATATCCCTCCCAAAATTCTTTTCCAGATTGCTGCAAAGAGCGTAGCTAGAGTCGATTTATAATATGGTCGGCCATTTGTTTCAAAATTATGACACGATATACGTGCGGTTTTTTTCCCACGTATACTTGCAATCATTCCTGCTACACGATATACGTGCGTTTTATTCCCTAGTATATGACCATTTTCTTACAAACGCGCATAAAAATGCGCACAAAAAAGGCCATATATATGCGTTACAAACAAGCATGTGGTATATGGAGTCACAGAAAGTCGTCGTATAAGAGGCACCGAATTATACCGTCAGCAAAAAACCCCTTCATGTACGATAGAGCTGAAAAATAACTTCAGTTTGAATCAAGCATGGCCGCAATGGCCGCTTTAATTTCGAGCAAGATTTGGTTTTTATTCATTGCCCTCACAGTAGTGGTGGTTGTTGGCTTTCCGACAACGGATTTGTTGGAATCCGTGGATTGTCTCTTGAGAGACTGTGTACGCTATTTCACAAATGCTGACCGAAACATAGACTGTTCACAGTCCTCTATTTTTCCGTAAGATCATCGAGATCGAGAGTTTTGCGTTACGAGGTACCCATCTTGCATGAGTGTCAAAACTATGTACCTAGCTATAATCCCCGACGCCCGCCCCCATCGATACATTTGAAAATCAAGATAGCCTTGACGGTAAGAAGCGGTGTATCTAAACGATCTCACGAAAAAATAGGGGACTGTGAACAGTCTAATAATTAGACAGCAAGATTTGGTTACCGTAATTATTACAACAATTTTCCCGGCTCTACAAGTCTGCATGGATGATTAGTTCGAGTTCCGGAAAGCCTGCTAGCACGCTCTCCATATCCAAGCGAGTTTCAAGACAACGCGCGAACGAGCGGCGAAGGCACGAGAGAAGCGCGGAGGATTTCTCCGCCTCTCGCACTTGCGTCTTCCTTTCGCGTGCTGTTCTCGCGTGACTTCTCGCTACTCCCCTAGACTGCGAGCAGTCTCTCAGTTTTCTTTGCAAAGTTACCGCACGCCGAAACCTAAGCACGCGAGTGGCAAAGCCGCGAGCCGCGAGAAACGAGGGCGTGAGCCCGCGAGAAGAAAAAATAAGTCTTTTCTCGTCTGGTCTCAATCCCTTATTGAAATAATAACCTCGTGGTTAGCAATCGCGCTGGATGAGATAAGAACTAGACGGATTTTAAGAGAAAAGGCGGACTGCAAACAGTCTACGACTCCCCCAAATGGAGAGCTTGCTCGCTGGCTAAGTTCCGGACGTTGATTGATTTCTGTCCTATGTGTCTTATCAGGAGCCCTGGTCTAATTTATTTTGCAGTTGATTACTAAAAATTTCCGGCAATTAACGGGATTAAGTTTTCCTGGCGTGGATCCACACCAGGTTCGACTGGTTTAACGAAATCGGACACATTTTTCATGACAAATTTATTTTTAATAATAAAAACACTTTCCAAGTTAAAATCTGGCCAATATCCTAAAGGAATAACTCGAAAAACCAAGAAAGGGGACTTATTTATCCTAGATCCGCGCCTGTTTTCTGACAACAGAATGCCATCGTGTTACCCCGGCCTGTTTAGCGGCACAGACCGGTCTGGACTAAACAAGGAACTGCCCTCGGGCTTCAGCACCATATATTGTAGCAGAAACTTTTTGTTTTAGTGCATCGTCTTGGTGGTGCCGCCAAAAAAAAAGAGATCTTACGCATTGCCCTTCTTTTCGCGTCTCGGCTAACAATCGTGTTTTCAATTTTTCTTTCGTGACCTTTCGACGAGCGGTCAACTAATTCATTAAAAGGCTATTATGGGGGACAGATCGTCATATCACTGCAAGCAACACGTAGGTGAAAGGAAATATCAACAAGCTAACAGAGCAGAGTTTTGTGAGTTATTTGGCACACAGTCAAATGTACCCCTATTCATATTTAAGAGTCGTATGTCTCGATCAGTACCTCGCTCATGCCAGTCAGACGGCTAAGACGAGTTCAGGAGTGAGACTACAACTCTGAGTATAATGTTGGCTGCGAGTTTGTTTCTTTTTCTAGCTGCCTTGGTCTCAAAGGATGTGGTAGACGCATGCGGCCCGTTCTCGCAGCATCCGTTCGAACTTACATACCAGTAAGTAATTTACCTAGAGCTTTAAGCTTAACTGGTGCATAACCTTACTACTGCACCGAAAGGCCTCTGTTGGCAGGGCCAGTAGCATAACCTGACAGATTTACTATAAACGCTTGCTTGAGCAGGAGGTAATCACAGAAGACTCTGTCAAATCCTTTTGAAATATAGCCTGCGTAGCAAGCGTTTTTCCGTGTGATTTCGGAGCAAAGAAAGACCGAGGAACGACGAGCTCCTGAACGGCATTTTTTATTTTGGCTGCGCGAAAATTGACTCTCGTTCCACGTTCTTTGCTCCGAAACCGCACGGAAACGCTTGCTACGCAGGCTATATAGCCACATAGTATTTTAAAATAGTATCCAAAGGCGGGTCCAGACCCTCAGATAAGGGAGAGGCCGGTCTCCCCAAAAAAATTTTTTCGGGATTTTCAGGATCTTGACTCGGGGTATACAGCAGGGTGTCTTTTTGGATCGGAAGCTTTTTAAAGGAGTAGACTGCCAGTAGTCTCTTAAATTTTCCTTTGCAAAGTTTATCGTTGCAATTCCAAATGATTAAGAAAGAAAGAGAAATATGCGAATACCTTTTCTTCCTGTTCTAAACTAAGTTATGATGAAATAATTTCTTAGAGGCCAGGTTTGAAAACGGGTGTGAAAAATGACATATTTTGGTCTGATATAGGATCAGGATTTGGAGAACCGGGCGGCACACTCCAACCAAGAATTCCCAGGAGTAACCTCCGAAGATACGTCTATATACATGTACAGGGTTGGTTTTTGTCGTCTCTGTCGTCTCCTTCTTTCTTACTCATATTTGGAATTGAAACAGTAAAAACGTTTGTACACTCCCCTAGTTCCCTAATAAAAACCATACCCGATTCCAGACCAAAATAAGCAAAGTTTACCTCCGTTTTCGGACCAATACAGCGCAAAACCCTACCCTTTGGGGCGGTACAGACTTATATTGCTAATATCTCCCCCAGATATATATAGTGGCACATCTTGGCCACATATAGGCCATATAATAACAACACTTATTTGCACTGCCATTAATATAGATGGTGTTGCATTCAAAGGAAAAAAACAGTAACTGAATAAAAAGAATAATAAAAATGAAAACTAATTATAGATTTAAGTAAGGGCCTGTTTACATGGAGGTGGGGGACCCCAGGTAAGTGACTTGACATGTGACAGGTTACCCCACCTATTATGTAATCATGATCAAATTAAAATGAGAGGTTATATGGGCAGGCGGGTTACCTCACCTACCTGGGGTCCCCCACCTCCATGTAAACTTCACAGCGGTCAAACGAGTGAAATTACTAATTACTAATTGCGATTTAGTTTACTAAACTTTTTAAAAGTTTGCTAAAAAAGTTCTCAGTGATTGAAAACTGATGCTGACGTTATTATCGGCGCCATTTTCAAACATGATTCTCTTTTAGCGCGAAGCGTTTTCAGCGAAAAAAGCTCAAAATTTTGAGAAAAATGGAAAGATAGTTATGTTGACTAACTGATTTATACATCTTTGCCCATTTTTCTCTAACTGGTAAATGAAATCCCAGCAATAAAAAACAAAATAACGATTTAGACGTTTGACCGCGGTGGTCCTATTATGTAATCATCATCAAATTAATTTGAGAGATTATATGGGCAGGCGGGTTACCCCACCTACCTGGGGTCCCCCACCTCCATGTAAACAGGCCCTAAGATAGGATACTGATACTGGAAGTATATAATAATACAATTGAGGTGAATATAAGTGACAGCGATAGCGAAATAAAAAGATGATTTTAAATTTAAAGATGATTTAACTGATTATTTCAACTAAATTAACGTAAAGTTTGACGTTGCTAGGCGATGGAATTGTGCTAACATATTGTTTCTTTCCGCAGCAACAAAACACAAGAGGTAAATACGCCTTTTTAATATATTATTCTATTTATGTTTTCCCTTATTTTGAAATGTGATACAATGACACTAAACCTTCGACCTTTAGAGTGTTTTCACTCACGTGACCAGTATCTATGCAAGATAAGGTTATTGAAACAACAACAACCAAAAAAAACATTTACGTGCCGAAAGAGTTCAACTCTCACAGCATTTGTTTGGAACACCAATATGGCTGCCGCACGTCATGTGAAACCTCTCTCCTCCGCAGAGGCTCCCGCTCGGTATCCCTATAAAAATAGCAATAATCAGAAAAAATAGAAAGCGCGCGGGGAGTGATGGGAAGAGGGAAAAGGCACGCTCTGTTTTTCTTTCTCGGCAGCCTTCCCGCAACACAAAGATGCCTCTGCGGAGGAGAGAGATGTGAAACCATGGGATAAGGCTCTCCATATGTTTGTTTGTTTTTATAGCTCCTCGCACGAGATAAGCTCTAGTTCCATTATTTCATCCTTTTGATTGGGTGCGGCATTAATCGAGTGATATCATGATTATCATAATTTCGTTCGCATGGGCAGCGTTTTTTCACCAAATGGAGGCCGGCACATTCAATAACGTATAGTCAAATCCTCTTTGACATGAAATAACTATTCTTAGGAACGTTATGTTTATTAAATAAATGTGTGTTCTTACGTGGTTTATATTATTTTACAGTTAGCACTTCCTCCACCTTTGAATATCTTAAAATTAGGGGCTTATCGTGGAATTCAGGAATGCAGAAATCAGTTTGAGAATGATAGCTCCTGGTGGAACTGTACATTTGACTGGAAGCGCGTTGATCGAAAGTTGCCCATTTTTTTCAACAACACACTTCCTCATGGTAAGAATATTTTTGTATACTTGTGATATCTCTGGAAGGGGGGGAAGGGCTGGGAAGGCGGAGGGAGACACTCAACGGAAATTTGAGTAGAGGTGTACGACCGGGGCCTTCAAACCCTGCAGACCGTGTTAAATACAAAAATCGTACATTTCACCTCCTTGTTCAAGACAAGAGAGATCATTTTATGACGGTCATGATTTATTTTGTTTTCCAACAAGATGGATTTTTTTTTCAGCCAGAATTATGGAATTTGATTGTTTAGGAAAAAACATCTTTGGTACCACAAATTTAGACCATTCATCGTGACCCTTCTGTCCAAAAAGACACCCTTTCCAAGACGCTAAATAGTGAAATTTTATACCAGCCCTGTTTGAGATTCGTTATGATGGACTAGCATGCAATTGAGAACAAGTTTATCAAATACCTCCACTGGTAATTCATTTTCATCTATGCGGGCCAGGGGGGTCCTTTCCGTCTTAGCTCATAATTAAAGGACAATAAAAGTCTCATGACCGTATACTTCTATCATCGTCATCATCTTCATCATGTACAATCAAACTCTTGGAGCGGGTTACCAGTAACCAATGGTCACAAGGGTCTGGCCATCCCTCAAATCTCAAGAACTCTTGGTAATATTGGACGCCTTCGATGTTGCCGTACCAGTACCGTACTATTCACACTAGAGACGGATAATCCATCTTTTAAATCAGTCAAAATTGACGGCCAAAAAAAATGAATAAAGTCAGGCGGATTGTCCATCTAAAATTAAGACCATTCCATTTTAAATTAAGACGTACAATATGTCTGACACGAATTATCCAAGGGATAACCAGTCTCAGACGGATAATCCGTTCATAGTGTGAGTACAGCCATTCTTGCAGTTCAAGGTAATGGCGTTTTCTCTGCACGTGCCCTGGTCGTATCCTTCTACCAATATGCTGACGTGACCTATTCAAATTGCCCCCAAATTGCAAAGCTCCTAAAACAACCAGTATTACCTCCACTTTTCGCATAGCCCTCTTTGAGTTAACTCTGCAGTCAGCGGGTACGGCAACATCGATTATCTTAAGGCAGACTCTATCCTCCTTCCCCACAACGATAATACCCGGTCTTCTAGACTCTATATATTACATGGTCGCACTGTGTGTTGAAATCCCACAACACTTTAAATCTTATCCGTCTCCAACACTTTTGGAATCCCTCCATTTCTTGCATTTCCTTACAGCCACTCCAGAGACAGCCTTTCTCCACGCCATCAGCGCCGCCGCCATTACTTACGAATTGACCCTTAAATGCCGGTATAACATAGTGGGATGCTATTGTGTGAGACGTCGAGTATCTAATAGTTTTTTGGGGCAGTTAGGATGTGGAGATAATGTTGAGTATGGAATGGACCAGACAAGGCTATTTTTCGACGAACTAGAAACTGGAATCGACGCTCGGACAGCAGTGAACAGGCATAACAACCGAGTAGGAAGAGAGGTACGGTAGTTGTAGTTTCAAGACAGTCTGTCGTCCTATATAAGGGAATTCGGATTCCGGAATAAGGGAAATTTTTGCTTGTGGAATCCGGAATGCGCCGACAATTTGCTTATGGAATCCGGAATCCTGGGACTTTGAAATCCGGAATACAGCTCTAGGAATCTGGAATCCCACTAACGACTGGAATCAAGAATCCATGTTCCACTGACAAAGACGGGAATCCAGTACCTGGAATCCAGAATCCAAGACTGTCTTCAAATCCCATGGTAGCACGAGACTTCCAGTCGTTTTCTCCGTTGCTGAGAGGAGGAAACGACTGGAAGTAATCGTCTAAAATTCAGGCTACTTACATGGACTACATGGGGGGAAGTCTGGGGAAACGATTTTAAAGGGAACCTCCACTCTTACTACAGAATAAGATTAAATCGAATAAAATTATGTTGATAAACAAATTTGTTTGAAATTTGTCCTTAAAAAAAGTGTTTAGATCAGGAAAAGTGAATTTTAAAATCTCTTATTTTCACTTTCAAATTTCGCGGGCGCCGCCATCTTGAATAATTGTGACGTGTTATGGTTGCTGTATTGTTCTGACACAAAGAGCTTTTGTTTAATAATAATAGGGCAACCGTAACACGTCACAATTATTCAAGATGGCGACGCCCGCAAAATTTGAAAACAAAAATAGGCGAATCTAAAAGTTATTTCTTTCGGATACAAACGCTTTCTTTAAAAATATTTTAGATTGACTTGACTGTAACAGTTATTACCTGTGATTTAAAGTTATCTTTTTGTTGAAGTGGAGGTTCCCTTTAAAACAGCTTGTTCAACGGGAACAGGACACTTTTTCAGCCGGCGGAAAATTTGTGCGGCGTCGTATGAATGTAGCCTTAATGTCATTCAGAAGCTGTCTTCCTCTTTCAAGGCACATCTTGGCGTGAACCAAATATGGTGACAGTCATATGCTATAATTACGGGATATATCGTAGTTGGGGGCATGTGTTCTAATCATTTTAAACTTTTCTATTTAACCGCAGCGTCATTTAAAAGGATGCAACTCTTTCCCTTTACAGATAGTCCGATCTAGTCTTATTGCCTGGTGTAAATGCCATGGCTTCGGTGGAGCATGCCATGTGAAGACCTGCTGGAAGATACTGCCTCCTTTTCAAGACATCGGGAAAGTGCTAAAGAAAAAATACAGCGACGCTGTGCCGGTCTGGTTTGTGGGTAACAGGCTAATGGAGAAGATTGACGATAATATGAGGGCCATCAAAAAAGAGGACACAAGGCTTATTTATCTCGATCCCTCCTCTAAAGGCTACCTCCAAAATGACACCTTGACCCCGCCAAATAGTGAAATGTTTCGGAAAAAGTCGTGTACCAGCAAAAATAGCGCCAAAACCAACTGCCAGTTTTTCATGGCTTTGTGCAGCTATTTTGGTCTGGGACAAGAAACAGTGAAGGAGTGTAAAAGGTATAAGAGTACAAGTATTTGTAGACGAATGAAAACTTGCAAGAAAACATATTTTACCACAACTTGTTACCGTAAACCTCAGGGTTTAAAAACTAATTAACAGGTTCTGTTTTTTGTTTTTTATCCTTTTCCAAATGTTTCTTTATTGTTTTCAGTGCTAATAAATTTTTTTGCCACCCAATTTCGAAGCCAGTTTCTACAGTCAAACCTCTCGGGAGCGACTACCCAAAATGCGAAGATTTAGTGGTCGCTTACGAGAATCGAACCACAAAAGTTCCCTTCCCGGAAGAGGACCGATCACAGCTACATTTTTGAATAGAATTCACCGCATGAAGTTACGATATGTGTTGCCGGTTTCATGCAGAAGGACGATTCGCTTGGACTTAAGAAGATTCGCCCAATGACATACAACACTCTACAAAATGGTGAACCTACTTCTCCGAGATGTTATACTTTAGTTAAACTTGGATTCCACATGTTCAGCCACTGTCTTTTCATGTTCTCAGGCTTAAAGAACGACAAATACACATCGGGCGAACCGACCTTCGGACGAAACGACCACATACCTCTCTTAGTAGTTTAGTACATAGAGCGGGCATAGAGATCTACCATGTCCAAGTTTTCGCTAACAGGAAGATAAAATCAACGGTGAAATCACAGTGAAGCCCTTGTAATTTCGAAAAGACTCAAGTTGCCCTAGGATGACCGAACAGATGCAAATTTTATAGCGACACTTGAATGCATTTATAGAGATCTAAAAGTGTTGTGGATAGTCTAAAAGGTGTTTTCAATGTATTAAGGAGGAAACCGGTGCCACGCCCCCCTCTTTGGACGACGGCCGTAGATTTGCCGATAATTTTAGATGCAATTAACATGTTACGAAAGTAAGAACTTTTCTGATTCCTCTCTCCATCACATTTTTGAACCCGAACATTTTAAGTTTCTTTTTTCAGACGAAAAATAGCCAAACCTGGGCAGTTAACTGTGAAAAATTAAACTTAAAAACATTTATTAGATAAGCTTCGAAAATTTTACGTGAATGGAACGGTCATGAATCTAGAAGTTTTTAACCGTCCTGAAGTGATAGAAAATTCTAGGCAATTTTTCCTTCCCCGAACAGATATTTTACGGAAAACAGTCGTTGGGTGCTCCTGGAAGTTGGTTGTAATGGCGATTCCGATATGATTTGGTCTGTAATTTGCTTGCTTATGTACGTTGTCAGTCATTTTATAGATGTCCGTAGACAGTAGATACGTACGATTTTGTTATGAACTGATCAGAATGTTAACTATGACGTTAGTAATAAAAGTACGCCTTTCTCAATTTCTTTGTTTTTTTTGGTCACTGTTATTTAAAGGGATGAAGTCTCTAAAAATTCTTCTGTTTTTGCCCACAGCCATTAATTGGAAGGGGACAATTCGAAAGTTCTTTTCTTCTTCTTTAATCTATATAACCACATTTTACTTATTTACTAATTTATATTTATAACCTTTGTTATACTGCTACATGAGAAATTTCTGCAATTTGATTGGCTTAGAGCAGTGGTATTTCAGCTTAATTTGAAATACCTACATGTGAAAATTACAAACCTTCTAAGGCTAGTAGTATAAACAATTAATAGCATGATTTGTACGTGATATTTGGCATAAATACACTCGCCTAACGGCTCGCGAAATTACGTATAACAATTTTGAAATATCACTCGTGTTATTTATGCCAAATATCACTACAGATCATGCTATTACCTGTACAAAGGAGTACAATAAAATTCCTATCTATGGATGTGAAAACGACCAGGGGGCTGTGAACAGGATACACGCAATTTTCATACCTGCGCGAGTCCACCCTACAGCCGTAGTTCCCTTTAGTGGCTCTGTGTTTGTTCGAAAATTAATGTAATATTGGAACGAATAATATATACTGGCACCAGTATTACCGCAGTTGCTGTTTCGGAGAAAAATTCCATTCTGCCTAGCGAAAAATCTCCCATTAAAAATGACTGAACTCAAATATTTAGTTCACGATTGAACTACGTACTCAGGAGCTGAGTAAACTAAGAATCAGTTTCATTCCAATATCATAACTGAGTCAGCCCGCTAGTTGGAGTAGGTTAGTTAAGCAATAGACCACACTTTCTATGGGTTTACCGGCGTGATGATCCACGCGGGACGTTGGGAGAACACGAGAAGAGCTTGTATGAACAGCTTCTATTAGTTTACCGGCACAATAAACCATAGGTTTTTAACCAATCAGAACGCGCTTACTATCCTGGTTATTTCATAAAAAGAAATAACTTTCTGTTTACCATTCATTTATCGTGTAGATTGAATGATCTTGAGATAAAACGTAAACTGTATTACTGCCGAGACAACTGTGTTAGCCTGTTAGTTGGAACAGGTTCGTTAGAACTAACTTTAATAAGGCTCTGTTGATATGGAGAAAACCTGTCCCGGGTGGGAGGGTAATCCTCCCAGCCAAGCCCATTTTCGCGATAGAATGTAAGAGAAAATTGTTGGCCCCTTAGCCCAACCCAACCCAACAGCACTGACTGTCTAAAACTTGCCATGATGGAGTTGATACGGCTGGGTGAGCCAAAGTGATGGAGAATAAAAGGGTGTCTCTATCATCACAGAAGGTTGACCCTACTAGGTGGGTCAACCTTCTAACCGAGCCAACTAAATGCTATTGTTTCTCAGTTAAAAGCTTTGTCGTGTTTTGTAAGGACAATCATCAGGAACTTTAAGATACAACGACGCGGCGGCAAAGAAAACGTAGCTTAAAAAGTGAATTTGCGTTCGTCCAGTCTTTATCACAATTATTCCTGTCGACTTACTTTGTCAAATGTAGGCGAACCCTCCTGGAGTTGAATTCCGAGGGACCATATCCAAGTTCAGAGAGAGAAATAAAATTTCGTCGTTGCTTGTTTACGTACTCCATAAAACGTGAAATTAGGCATTTTTACGTCGTATAGTCGTGCAAAATCGGGCAAAGAAATGTACAAAAAGCGTGATGCACGTGCAAAGTTGTTGTTATTTTTATAAAACCTATTGTTTTTTTGACGTTAACGTCAAGGACCGCGTCGTTGGATCTTAAAGTCGCTATTTATGTATCTGTATGAAACGTTCGCTCGTCCAGGGTAGCTCGGTTGAGCGGGTGATCCTTCAACCCGGGACAACTTTTCTCCATATGCACGGGGCCTAACTATTAAATTGATGCTTGAACAATGATGTTGACTAAAAGACAATTAACAGAACAGTGTTGGTAGCAATATCACCACTATATTAGCCTCGTTGTTAAATTTGGTTCGGAGTTGGTAATTACCAACTTTCTTCTGAGGCGCCATATAACTATTGAAAAAACAACGAGAAGAACCCCCAATACTGCAACTACAGCGATTAAAGCGTTCTGCGTTCCTGCAAAAAATAATGCTGAATTAATTATTACGAAACAGTTAAGATACCTGTACACGTTGCATGCAAAAGAAACGTAAAATAAAAAAAAAAACAATCCAAATACAACACAAAATTAATTTCTTTACCACATGAATAATGCCTGAGAGAGGAGGGCCGGTGAAGTAAACGGATTCAACTTTGTAATCAACAAATTTAACACTGGATTGAACCAAAACAAACTCCTCAGATTAAATCTTTATTTCATGTGTTTTTACCCATGGTTTTCTTGGGGCCTATAGTAAACTTACACGGCACCTCACAAACGCTACAAAAGGGAACCCCTTCTTTTACTGCCCGCCAAAATTCCCTCTTCAATTCCCTTTCCCTTTTGAACGCCTAACCCACAGCCACGAAGGCTACGTTCTTTCTTGAGCCCGAGACCTTACCCCAGTAATTACCCTCCTCAATTCATTATCCTCAAAAGTGAATATCCAACCTTTGTCAGTAATGGCTTCCTTTTGTCCCGTTGGCGCTAAGGTTGCTGCAGTTGTAGGTCGATTAATTGGAATCACAGTAGGAACAAGTTCTGCCAAAGAAGGAACAAGTTTGTTCCAAAAGGCCATCTTTTCGGGAAGCATGTTCCTTTGAACGGAAGATGAAGGCTTCAGTGATACGTACTGTTTGTCTCCAAGGTTGTACTCTGGCCAGGAGACATTTTCTGCAGTTGGTTTTCTACAAATTGAATGTTAAAAAAATGATAAAGGCGCACACGAGCCAAAGACCCAAATGGCCGGAGTTTATCGTAGTTTCCTTAGCATCAAGCATGCCTAGGAGTATTGCTACACCCTCCGAGACGGGATGCTAGTCCATCACAGGATTACCCCCCAGCAGTATGTCGCCGGTAATCTTTTATACACCTGGGTGTAGAGGGACAAAGTGGAGTAAAGTTCCTTGTCTAAGGAAACAACGCAACAGGCGAGGCCTGAGCCCCGGACCTCAAGTTCCTGAGTTCGAGGTGTTAACCACTCGGCCGCACAAACTTCCACTACATTGAATGATACAATTTTAAAAAGTTAAAAATCTGACAAATACAAGTTGGATAAAAAGTAGAGATAAAGAGTCACTAAAGGAGGAAAACGGTCATAGCGAGTATTTAAAGTATTGGAGAAAGCAATCCAGTTTTAGTAAAAGTTGCTAGCACATTATGCTATGATATCATTTTACGGGAGGAACCCAGGTTTACACGGACTTACCAGGTAACACGTGTGCGTGAATTGATTTCTTACACTTACCCATTCTTAGCAAAGTTGCTCCACAGGGTAATAACCTGCTTTGAGAACAGTATTTCCTTATTCTGTTCAGTGGGCGAAAAAGTTTTATTATATCCCTTGTAAAAAGCTCCAAACACATAAGGAAGATCAGCACCATGGAAAACTCCAGCCCATTCTGGAAAATCAGCTCTGCCAAAGTGATCAAAGCAGTAGAAGAAAGTCTTGATCTTGTTTTTCACAAACACCTGTGCAGAGCGTGTAGCTGGAGCCTTAAACATTGCATCTGTAATGACATCCATATATTTTTGTCGTACTACTAACTGGTTCGTCTGGTTTGTCCAGTCTGTGTATTGAAATATCACAGCATCCAAGACTTTCTGAGTTTGGTTTCCGACCCAGTGGCCATCCTTTACAAGCTTGTCAAAATATGTTTTATTGAGTCCTTTATCAATACCAGGGACTCCAGGGGATAATCCTAATAACAATAAACAAATGCAACTAACAATGAACTACGAACTTGCAGCATATCATTTGAAAATTATAAAAGTAATAATAATCATAATAATAATCATAATCATAATTTAACCAACTGCCTCGCTTAAGTGGAAGGTGGGTGCCTGGGATACCCAGGGGCTTCCACTGTAGCCAGCCAGCCCCTAGATAGAAAAACTGCCCCCATGGCTGGCAAATCCCCGCAACCCAGCCATGAGCCCCCATTCCAGGCACCCGTCACACTGATCAAACAGTGGAAGGAAGAAAAATGGGGACGGGAGGGGGGGAAGACGCTAAATGAACCGCTCCACAGACCACTGCACAAACGCTCGATGAACAACTCGCAGATCCTAGCCATGTACAAAGCTACCACACACCATGTGAGCCTGCACTTATGGGATTGACCGCTGGATGCCCGCTACGCTCGTGGGCCGCTTGACCGCTAAGCTTGTAGACCGCTTGACCGCTAAGCTTGTGGACCGCTAGACCGCTTAACTTGTGGACCGCTCAACTGCTAAGCTTGTGAACCGCTTGACCGCTATGCTTGTGAATTGCTTGACCGCTACGCTTGTGAACCGCTTGACCGCTAAGCTCGTGGTGGTTAACTTAGTTAAATTACATTTAACCAAATCATAATAATCATAATAATCATAATAATAATTATTATAATAATATCTGCCTACAATAAGGAATGTTCAAAATAAATATGACAGACAAGAATGAGACAAAGAGAAACCATTAGATACCGATCTAACGTCGACTAGGGCAACGAAAACGTCAAAAAAGCAATAGGTTTAATAGGCAAAAGAACAACTTTGCACGTGAAGCACACTGTTTTGTACATTTCTTTGTAGTTTTTTGCATGACTACGATGTGAAAATACCTAATTTCCTTTTTTTATGGAGAATGTAAATAAGCAGTTGACGAAATTTTACTTTCTTTCTCAACTTGGATAAGGCTCTTGGAAATTCAACTCCAGGAGAGTTTGCTTATATTTAATGAAGTAAACGAGTTGGAATAATCGTGACGAATAACTGCAAACTAATTTACTTTATAAGCGACATTTTTCCCTGGCGTCACCATGCTTGCACCTTAAGGTCTCTACTGTCATGCTCTAGCAATGCACTACACAGCTGTAACTGCACGTATTACAATCGTTTAAAGAGCAAATGTAGTCACATAATTGAAACTGAATGTATATGGCTTGAAAGAACAGTTACATTTCCGTTTGTCCTGGCAAGCTGAGCTCAAATTTTGCTTACTCCGGGGCCATAGCATCCTTGAGTCAGTTTATGATCTAGTTACATGTAGAAGATGGCTTGCTTGCTTTGTCTATCTGACAAGTGAGTGTTAAAAGTTATTTGCCTGATGTCTGGGTAGGCAAGCCCTGAATTAAGCATTTAAGATGTTTACTTTATAACCTTTTATGGGAAGAACAAAAAATCCTCCTTCATTCTGAGTGACACCAATCATAGCTGGAACTGTCTGATTAAACTCTCCATTGACTAGAAGATTGAAAGGAAGATCTGCAGATTTAACCGTTGGAGCAAAATAAATACAGAAACAATATTATAAGTCAGCAGGCACGTTCATGCAATAAAATTTTAGACCTTTTATATACAGCCTGAAAATTTATTGCTGTTGCTGTATCTTCCCAAAAAACATTCAGTAATCCTCATTATTATGAAAATAAGATGTGATCAGGGTGCAAAGAAAGTGAGTTTTACAGCCTGCCATTCGGGCAAGCTGTAGCTAGCATGTACTAGCCCATGAGTCATTTCAACTAGCCCCCAAACCCTTTTGAATTAGCAGGATTGATTACAATCCTGTAATTTGAATTTCCCAAAAAGACAGCACTTGCCCATTGGGCAAGTTAAGAACAAAAATCACTAGTCCAATATCAAAATCCACTAGCCCCAGGCTATCGGACACGACTTTCTTTGCACACTGTACATGAACGTATACAAATCATGGACACCCAGTCCATGGACCACCCCTGTGGACCTAGTCTATGGACCCCTTTGTGGACCCGGTCCATGGACTACCCCCGTGGAGCACCCCTGATGAATTTCTACCAGTGGACTCGCTATCACTTGTTCAATACACGTACATCAAGGCCAATTAAGGCCTGAGATTTCCCTGTAATGACTGAACGGAGGAGGTTAATAAGTTATTTATATTTTGGCCTTTTCATGATGGACCTGAGCCTGTGATAAATTAGAACAAATCCATAATAAAATCAATGATTAAAAACAATTATTTATGACACTATCAAACTCACCATAAAGAAATTTATGATCGACAACAGGCAGGAATGGTCGGCCACTGGTTATACTACTTGTTAAATTTTTCTGGGCTTTAAGTATCTCAGTTACACTCTTTTTTTCCAAACAGCTCTTTAATCCATCCATACTGCACCCAAGAAGGTTTGCAATTGTTCTGTTGGCAGGCAACAGTCATGAATTAGAATTTGTACATTTTTAACACTGCAGAATGAAATATTAACATAAAATCTCTATTAACCAGTAGTGTTTGTATATTGGGTTGCCTGTGTAACCCATTCTTGTAATGCATTGTGGGTGAGTGTGACAATACAATATGGCTGACTGAAATGTGTGTTCCCTGAGTGTATAATCCACCCCCATCAAGGACTGATCTGGCATTCAGACATTTACATTAGCCACAAGGATCAAGTTAATGAGATTTCCCGGTGACATGGCCGGAAGTAATATCAGACTGATGGTTATTTGAGGATCAAAATCGGAATTGAGTGAGCAATGGCGTATTTGGCTGCAAGGATTCACATACCAGCCTACACCTACAAAATCCCGTGAGAACGAGAAGCAAATTACTTTATCGGGCCGGTTCTGGAATGCAGGATATTTTTGAGAATCCTAAAATTGTTCCCCTAGAAGATCAAGCCGATGACGTTTATCAATAAACCATTTGTGCTCTGAATGCATACTATCACGTGCAAGAAAACGCAGCACGCGAAAGCCATTCTTCACCAACTAGGTCAAGATCCCGGGGAAGATGTGGACTCGTTAGTGCTTTGGCTAAGGAAACAAGTAAGACACTGTGGCTATGGAGTTGAAGAGGTCGAATTTGCACGAAGAGACCAGCTGCTGGAGAAAGTATCATCCCAAGAGTTATGGACCAAGCTATTTGAGGTTCCTAATATACAGCTTGCAGCAGCCTTGACTACAGCCAGAGCATGGAAAAAAGTATGCCGTCAGGCAATTGCAAAAAGGAGGGGAAAAGAGCAGAGTGAATTTGGTGCAGGACAGAGCAGGCCAAGGAAAGCCAAGTGGGCAAGGCATGCACAAGTGCTACATGGGTGTGGTAGATCTGGGCAATTGCATGTGACAAGGTGTGTCCTGCGAAAGGAAAGTTGTGTGCTAAGTGTGGCAAGAGAGGGCACTGTGCAGCGTGTTGCAGCAATGAGGCAGATGGAAAAGGGAAATTGTGTAAGTGATGGAAGAGCAAGTGGGAGTAATGATTGGCGATCCTGTGGTGCTACCAGTGGACATAATTTTAAAAAAAGGGGCCAACAAGTTAATCAAGTGGACTACGACAGTGAAGAGGAACCACTTGCCTTGCCAATTAACTACAATGAGGAAAGGGCCAGTGAAGATAACAATAATGCAGCGAAGATTAATGGCTTGAGGAGCTTGTTGAGGAGCAGTTTCACAACCTAGTGAGGAGTGGCCTCAGAGCAAATTTAATACCAGAAGACAGGTCGAATGTTCATGTCATCAACTCTATGGCGATGGGTGTGGTAAATTTGAAGCTACATTGAGTGGCAAGGGAAAAAAGTAGTGGAAACTGTTCTTGTATAAATACAAGGAGAAGGGCCATATTTGCTTGGTAGCCCAGCTGCTAAAAGGCTACAAGTGCTGAAGGTTGGACCAGAACTGGTGAACATGACGACCATATATTTCACAAAAAGTGATATCAACGGTATCGTGAGGTGTTTCTCAAAGATGTTCTCTGGGATTGGCAAGTTGTCCGCGGCTACCAGCTTAACGTTGCACATCAATCGTGAAGTACTTACAACAAAAGCACAGAAACCGAAGTGGATCCCTTACCCTTTGAAAGAGATAAAGTCCAGAGAAAGATTAGCAAGCTTCTTAACCTTGACATCAACAAGAAAGTTTTTAGGCCCAACAAGCAGGGTCAGGCCAGCTGTGATAGCTTCTAAGCCAAACAAGGATGATGTGCGTAATATGTCTCGACATGATGCATGCCAACAAAGCAATTCAAATTGAGCTTGAGGAGGAGTCAAGGGATATCACAACATTTTCAGACGGTGATTCATTGTATCCTTACAAGAGGTTGAGTTCTGGTATGAACATGAATGCTCCTGAACAGTATCAGAGCATCATTAGACATGCAATTGCTGATTGCCCTGGTGCCACCAACATAGCTGATGACATTGTTGTATATGAATGGACAACTGAGGAGCATGACAGAAACCAGGTGAAATTGCTAGGGCAATTACAGGAAAAAAAACCTGACCCTTAGCAAGGACAAGGACAAGATTGGAATGATCAATCAAATTGTTTTCATGGGATTGCTTTTAAGTCAGCATGGCGTGGGATCAACAGAGGAAAAGGTCAGAACACAGTTCGTGAAACAGACCCCCTTCTAGTGTTGCCGAGTTGCACAGTTTTCTGGGACTTATCAGTTTCAGCTTGAGGTTCTTGCCAAATTTTGCAACAACCGCAGAACCACTACGAGAGTTGAGAGAACAAGACACCAAGTGGCAGCTGTGGGCCAAAGAGGAAAATGAAGTATCTGAGGCATTAACCCTTTAAGCCCCAATATCCACATACAAACTCTCCAAACTGATCTCCATACATTTCCTTCACGAATGAGTTGAGAGAATTTGATAAATGATCAGGGCATTTTCCCTTAGGTGATCATTTTATTAATTCTCATAACCTAATCGCTTGACATTGTATGGATATCGTTAGGAGAAAATTGGCGTTACTCACTATTGGGACTTTAGCTAAGGTGCATCAATATTTATGGCCTTCTATGACAAGAACGCTCCAACTGAGACGGTCACTGATGTGAGCCCTGTCGGACTTGGGGCAATACTAGTGTAGGAGCATTGGGAATAAAGAGAGCAGTTGCATTCCCGAGCTGTAGCTTAAGTGAGGTTGAGTGCCAGTATAGCCAGATGGAAAACAAGATGCTAGCAGTGGTCTGGGGTTGTGAGAGATTCAATCTTTATCTATCAGGGCTATAGAGTCATTTCAGCTGGTTACTGACTGTAAAGCTTTGGAGGCTATTTATGGACCAAAGTCCAAACCATTGGCCAGGGTGGAGAGATGGGTGTTGCACCTCATGCCTTTCAAGTGCACCGTGTGACGATGTACCATCAGGTCAGGATATTGCAGACTACCTAAAACAGTTGAAAAAGATACCTGCTTTATCACACCGTAACAGCTCAGCTGAGGAGCAATGAGGTTAATATATAAGTTCATTTGGACCTTTAGTTCAAACATTGCTTCTTATTGACCTCCATATTTAAACAACTTTAACTATGTCATTTTTTAAGCGTTTTGGATGGGATTTCAAAGGAATTAGACCAACTACAACATGATTTATCGCACGCTCATACGTAGATTAAGTCAGCTGCCATTACCCATGACAAGTCTCCCTAAAGACATCAACACATTTTTCATTACTTTATGTTGTGCCAGTCGATCGAAAAACAGTGAGAGATACAGGTTATAATGCCTCAAAAAGCAGGAGGTACAACCATACAATGTCACGATTTCAGAATCTACATGTAGAGTTAATTTTCTCTGTCTCCTTTTCATTTCTATCCACTCATTTTGCTCAAAATTCAACTTTGTGGTATGGGAGGCGGAAGCGACACTTAGTTTTACACTGGGAAGGTCCTAACACTTTTTACCTCCATTGTAGGAGGACTGTCAATTAAAGAAAGGTGAACATAAAATAATAATTTAAAGCATCTTGCAATGTGTGAACTTACTTTGCACTCTCAATTGCTGTTTTGTTGTCCATACTAGCAAAAGTTGAGGCTGCTGTTCCACTTTGAAGAATAACCTTGTGGTAAAGACCTGCACTCATTGGAGACATCATATGAAGACCAACACTACAAGCTCCAGCTGACTGGCCAAATATTGTCACATTATTTGGGTCACCTCCAAATCTAACAAAAAGATTTGAATTGGGAAAACTAAATTGCAAGTTTGCATTTCCCATCTTCACTGCGATTAATTTGTCATAATACAATAATTAACTTTCAAAGTATATAATTTTAACGTGTTTGTAGTTTTATTATTTATTTTATATTTTTTTATTATTTTGTTTGACCTCCCTGTCCTTTCTTACAACAAGGCAATGCTGAGCTAGGAAATGTTAATGAGAGTTACTACCATTAAATTTGGCAATGAATTACTAAGATATCTTGGTGCATGGCGGTTTGTACATTAATTATCCCTTCAATGGAGATTAATTATCCCTTCACATCGTACTGCACAAACTCGCGGGGCCCCACTCTAGTATACTTTTGGGCCTTCCTTGATACTTCTAAGGTCCCCTGCAGTTTCTGCACTACCAACTCTTGTCTCTCCAGAATGTTGCCTTTGTCATTTTTCTTCCCACCACTATCTCCTGTTTTACGCCGATTTGCTTTCATCTCCTTCTTAAACGTGCCCCAGGATCTCCTTCAGTCTGCCATGTTTGGTTGAGCCCGCAAGGCATCTTGGTCTATGGCAGTTTTAGGTCACCGACATAAATTTTTCAATTTGTTTTAATTTCACCTACTTTCAATTGACTTAATCGCTTTGAGATTAATTTCATTTAACAGAGAAGGCTTTGATTTCCTTTCACTTTTCATTTTAAATTGTTTTGGAAATGAAATGAAAATGGGCGATTCCAGAAAATATCCATACCATACCACGGACGGCTTTAAGGATTTCCGAAGGGGAGGGGGGATTCACGATTATGGAATTCTGAAGGCATGGGGGGGTATTTACGATTTGAAATCCGAAGGTATGGGGGAATTCCACAGGTGGGATTTCTGGAGTAGAAAGTGTAGAGTAAGTTCCTGGAAAACGCTATTGTTGTGGACTTTTGTAGTTCGTAAATAAACCACGAACGTATGACCGCGGAAGCAGAAGACAAGCATCGATAGATCAGACACGTGTTTACGCTCATAACCTATAGAAGTGAACAGTAAAACGTTGGTCACATTTACCTTGATGAATTTCTTGTCACGTGAATAAAAACTGAAAATGTATCTTTTAATACCGCTTGCAAATTTCTTGTTACTCCCGTCCGAAACCGTCTGACAAACAGTAAAAAACTCGCACCAGTCCCTCACTTCCAAGGAACGCCTGTCAGATTAGAACGCTTTTAATGCGCACTACATGATTTATAAAAGGGGCCTTAACACGACTCGGACGGTATATTTGACCGCCAAAAGATTTTAACAGTCTGTTTGAGCTATTTTCCTTTGTAAACGTCAAAACAGCACAAGAAAACAAAGAGGAGTAAAATTACCTTAAGTGGTGTTTATTTTTATGGCCAAATTCGGACTTAAAAAGGAGTTTGCACGGCCTGGCAACTAGCGTAGGTTTTTCTTGTCACTGAAGAGTAAAGCTTGTCACCTGGCGCCGCTAGATCACAGCCTTGAGGAGGCATAAATTCATGTTCGTTTCTTCTTATAGGCGTTGCTAAGTCGAAAATGTACTTCCAAAAAAAACCCGGAAATTCTGAAGGGGAGGGGGGGTTCACGACTATGGAATTCTGAGGGCATGGGGGGGTAGCGCATTTTGGAATTTCCGAAGGCAAGGGGGGGTTAAAACATGGAAGCCGTCCGTGGTTGGGTATGGATATTTTCTGGAATTGCCCAATAAGATAAAATGTATAAAATAAAATAAACAATTTAATGAGATAACTAAAACCATTCATATAAAAGGAAAAAGCTGGAAATAAAACAAAATCCCTATGGCAGCTCTAGGCCACCACAGAGAACTGCTCATTTTGCTATCAATATTTGAAAACGGGTACTTGTGATTTTCACGTTGAACAAAAAATGAAAACATAAATGACGTTTAACAGGGATAAAAAGAGCGAGAATGTCAGAAGCAATGTATTTTGGACACTTGAACAGAAGTGTGTTTGGGCTGAGAGTGGGGTGTCACAGTTTGAGCTGATGAAGCATCACAAGATAAGCAGCAGAGGTGCATGTGATTGATGAAGTTGGAAGCTACTTTACCATCGTAGACACTTTGGTTTATTTCGTTATTTCATCGCGAATATTTTGAGACTGAAACAATTTTAATTTTCTCAATCCGACATTCACAAGTTTTCCTAGCTCAGCATTGCCCTGTTGTAAGATAGGAAGGTAGGGAACTGAGGTAACATTGCACAGCATTACATTTTCAGAGTTAAATAAAATAGTTACAAAGCCAAGAATCAAATTGAAATTCTTCCTTTGTCGCTCAAAATGCCCTGAAGTACACTTTTCAGAGCCCTTAAGATAATATTATTTCCCGACAGAAACCCCCGGGATTTCTCAATGGCCCCCCATACCCCTCCCTACGCTACTGATACGAAAAGCGCTCCTTTCGGGCCTTCTTGATTAAACCAGGCTTAATATATGTATAAAATAAATAGTTAACGTACTTTTCTATGTTCTCCTGAACCCATTCTAACGCCTTTACTTGATCCAAAAGCCCAAAATTTCCTGGTAGATCTTCTGTTCCCGTAGACAAAAACCCCAGCACACCGATTCGATAGTTGAAAGTTACGACTAAAACTTGACCCTCAGTTGCCAGATACCCACCATAGTACATTTTATACGCTGAAGTACCGCACTGAAATGCTCCTCCGTATATCCATACCATAACTCGCCACAGCGAAACACCTCGTGTTTCGCGGGGAACAAAGACATTCACTGAGAGACAATCCTCTTCGATCTTTGTTGAGTTGTTTAATAATATGCTTGGCAGCTGTGGACACGAAGCACCGTACGAAGTAGCGTTTTTAATTGTTTCCCATCGCTTTGGCGATTCAGGGGCCTCAAATCGCTTGGCCCGGGCAAACGGTATTCCAAGGTACTGAATGACTGTTTTTCTTGTATTCAAAGGGATGACTTTTCCACGAACTGGGCCATTTGTTGTGTTCACGACGAACTCCGCGTCTAAAGCGGAGACTAATGAAACTGAAGCTAATAATAAGCTTATCGTCCCAAGGGCAATAGCAATGGTGTGATACATGCCCTTCCAAAATAAGGATGAAATATTATCAAGCAAAGAAGTTTATCGTTTGCACGTATCAGCCCGGACTTGTGATGATCCGATATCGCTATGTCGCGGCGTGAAATTGGCGGGAGAATGGGCCTTGAGAAACCGGAAGCTAGAGCAAACCAGTTAAAGAAAAATAAATAGGTCTAAACTGAAAGGCACGCGGACCAACGAACTTTAAAAGAAAACGGTCGTTCTCGGAACAGCTGTTTCAGTTAATGCTTTCTTTCTTCTCAGACTGCCGTCGGCTTCATAGCAGGTTGCCATGTTCGGGGAAATATGTACCGGGTACCGGTCAAAGCAGGGTATACTTGAAAGATGGGTGGGTCTTCGAATACGCTGTATCGGACTCATGAAAGTTGATCGTAGAGTACCACCCGGAGGCTCCCCACTCCCTCCAGAACTGTACATGCTTGCTGGAATATACTGTACCCTTTTCTGCCCTATAAATGTTAAAAAGCCTTGTAATATGAGGTAATAAGACCTTTATACTCGCCACAAGTCCACTAGCGACATATTTAAGTCTCCCGACTTTCCAGCAAACCTAGCCTGAATTTCATCCGATTTACTTCGACTCGTTATTACTCTCTCAGTTGCTGAAAGGAGAAAACGACTCGAAGCAATCGGATGAAATGCAGGCTACACAAAACCAGCAAAAACCGGAAACGGGCTTTGAGAAAATCCCTTTTACTAAGCAATTCATGCGCTGGGCTACCCTGCTGGCAGAGTCCCTTCAACTTTTTCTAGATAAGTCTTGGGAGATCCTAGACTCTGTTCTCCCGTTCAGTCACTAAGGGTCGCCAGCCTGCAGAACAGGCTCGGTTTTTTGTTGTTGTTTTTTTTTTTTTGCGTCTTTCGGGCGAAGTTAGTAAGAAGCGGGCGTCGCTCATACTCCGCTTTCACTTCGCGCTTGCACTCGCTCACCTGTATAAAAACGCCGCGGAAAAAACTAGCGCCTGTTTTGCTAGCTGTTTTGCCACAAATACTGAAATTTCAAGTAGTCCCTATAACGTCCACACTTTGTTGAAGTTCCTCCTCCTGGTTTGCACAATCACATTTAACATTGACTCATTCACACGTACTCTATGCGCACTGAAGCATTTTTCTGACCGGGAAAATCAAAAAGGCTCTTCAGTTTGTTAATGGACAACTTTTATTATACCAAAAGGCCGCGACACTTAACAAACGACCAGGTAAAATACAGGTAATAAGATAAAAATCATCCCTATGTCCCTAGGTTATAAGCCAGCCCATGATACGCACTTTCCTTATTTAGGACAAACGAAGAAGCGAAATGCATTTTAGATTTTTACTACAAGCGGTCGCCCAGTCTGATCTGCTACACAGCCGTTTTTAGTGTCGTCATGCAAGGAGCGTTACGTGACGACACCATAAACGGTTGTGTAACATACCAGGGCGAGGGGTCGCATTGAGTTTTGCGACATTTATTAATTGTAGGACGACATAGATAAATTGCAGTAAAACAGTTCAAACTTAACAACCAACCAGTTAAAATCTAAAATCACTTTTAAAGTGTTCAAAAAGGTCCTTCGACCTCGACAGGGGTTCCAGTAGCCTGTTCCAGGCTCTCAGATAGTGGGGAAGATGCGAAAGTGAAAGGTAAGCGAAAAGTTAGTTTCCATGTTCGCGCTCTCTCAATTCAGCGGACTTCACTATCTCGGAGCCTGGAAATGGGATCAAATCTAGCGACCAGGCTTTCAGAACCGGATGAGTTCAAAGTCATTGTAGCCTAAACTCCCTTTCCCTTCCTTTCAAACCCTTGCCACGTAGGTTTAGGTCATTGTGAAGGCCGTGTTTAATGAAGATGACATACGTCACACTTAGCTAATGGGAGGGATCCCCAGTTTTGCTAAGTTTCTCTGATACTTTCTACTTCAGTTGTATGGATATCCCGGTAAATTGCTTCACGTCCTGATGCATGGCAATGAAAATAACAATCAAATGATTTACTGATACCTGTTTCGCAAAATTTGGACGGATCACTTGTGTTTACCGTTCAAAAACAAAGTTAAAAAAAATCATATTTATCTTATAAAATCTAAATCATACACTAAAATACAAAGTAAATTGTTTTAAAAAGTCATATCAATATATTCTTGTACACGTGAGGCTTACATTAAGGCTGGGCAAAACAAGGGGTAATTTTGCAAGGACATAATTTATTCTAGGATAGCCCCCATTAAGTGGCGCGAAGCGCGGCGTAATTCTAGAGACAGACGTAGGGGTTATAGTCTCCTTACAGGGAATTTGAATTTGTCCTCACTACATGTCGCACGAAGTTCAACTTGATGAACATCATGGGGCATGTCGCGGAGACATGTGAGATTGTAGAGTACTTCCCTGTAAAGAAATCAATAGTTTATCCATCCAGAGACAAGGACCAAAACTCCATGCGTTGTAACAGCAACAACAACTTTCGCCTCTGCCGGCAGACATTGTGATTTCTCCCCGGCTAAATATCCCCTATAATCGTCCCTGATCTACAATGTCATGTGTGTTCAGCACGTGATTTTATCGTGGTTACACGTTGCTACGACGTACATGTACCCTAGCGAAAAAACCCGGCACTTGTCACCGTCAAACTAGTTACGAAGAGGGATCATACCCTAATAATTCATGTATTGCCTCCACGAGAGGCAGGCGCAACAGCATTTTAAATGGCAACTTTAAGATAACGATTTTCTAAAAGAACTTTCATCCTCAAATTAGCTCAGATTCCTTGGCCCTTGATCTGAAACAAACGAAAAATGAATCGTTTTAGTCACAGTTGAACCTCGATTGTCCGGACGCAAAATAAAAGGGACAGAGCGGGCTCGTATTATTAAAAGTAGATTTGCGCAATGAGGGGTTTGAAGGTATGATTATTTCTTTCACTCATCCCAATAGAGGCCAAAAAATTTCCAAATCTCATCCTATATCGTTACATATATCTTTACATCTAACACAACTATTACTCGGCACAAAATCACTTTCATTGCATTACTTAAAAAACCCTGTTTTTCGGCGATAAGAACAACATGAACGTATATCTCATTCGGGCTTGCCAATTATTGATGGCGAACATGCAGTTAATTCACAAACCAACGGTGTGATGTTTTGCGAAGTGCGAGGCATGACCAAGTTTATTTTCTTAACATAGTAACATAACAAATTCGGGAGAAATGTCAGTACTAAAAATCAAACACTTCTTTAGTTTTTGTTTAATACTTACTACTCTGCTACGGCCACGGGCGCTGGTGCAGCCTCTGTGAAGGGACAAACAAAGAAACAAACGAAGAAAAAATATTAATCAAATATCACTGGTCGTAATTAACAGAACTCAGATGAGCAATACTTAGCACGGTTTTCACTGGGGTGGGATACGCAAAAACCAAAGAAATTACTCTAGCCAATGAGAGTGAGAAGACAAGCCAAAAAACCAATAAGAATTCAGAGGAAACAATTGCAGAAGGCAAACTGAAAGGGCAATATTTAAAGCCACTGCACTCACAGAGCGTGACAACACAAAAACAAACAATAACAAAAAAAGTTGAAACACTCTAAGATTGACAACTGTTTTAGTGATACATAATAATATTGAAGGGCGTTTTGAGAACTACATTTTGCTGTGTTCTTATATCCGCTGGCGAGCGAGCGCGTTTAAAAATCACCACCCAAGACGAAGATGACACGAGTCTTACCTCTCCTCGCGCGCCGCGACTTTCACGTGCGCTCGGGAATTTCGCTCGCTTCGCAAGTATCCCTAAGGATATGAGACACTAGCCGCAGCCTAATAGAACACAACAGTGAAGTCTACCTGTCTGCTCAACAACAGGTTTCTCTTCATCTTTCTTTTCTTCTCCGTTCTCTTCTTCTACTCTAGGTATTGCCTTCAATGGTTCTGATCTGCGGTTACCTAAGTTTTGAACACAGCAACATAAACAAGTGAGCAACCGAGAGATATTCAAGCTCGCTGGGACTACGAATTATGAAACTGGAATTTTTCTAGTTATGTTCTGGAGACCTACCTTCAAGAACTTTCGACGAAAATCGCTCGCTTGACACTCGTTTGAAGTCTGGCTGAGCCCGGTTCACCTCCTTGCTGTGACGGGCCTGGTGTTGAGTTCGCCCACTGAAGAAAACAAAACACACAGATAAAAAAGGCTTAGCTTAGCTAAGCTTAAATCACAGCCAATGTCGACAAACCATCAGTGAAAACTGGTCAACGAAACGACTGATAACACGTTAGCGAAACGACTTAAAACACGTAAGCGAAACAATCCAAAACTTCAGCGAACAGGAGGTCGGCGAAACGACTCGTTGGCGAAACGGCCGGTCACCAATCAATTAACCAGGTATTAACATGGCTGTGTAACAGCTTTTTAGGGTTCTTAGGACTCTCTACGGTGGCCCAGAAGGCTCACACATGCAAATTAAAAATGTTGCTGCAAACTAAAAATTTTACCTGCAAATTAAAAATGTTGCTGCAAATTAAAAAAGAGGACATGCAAATTAAAAATTGTACATGCAAACTAAAAATATTACAAACATGGAACATGAATGGGCCGACGGCTGTAAGGCCAGGTCGTACGGGTCGGACCAGGTCCTCATCAGTCATACTGCGCGCGCAGGACTTTTCATTTTTAATTTGCATCGATATGTTTTCTATTTTCAATTTGCAGCACAATTTTTAGTTTGCATGTACTATAAATTATTTAATTTGCAGGTAATATTTTTAGTTTGCATGTACAATTTTTAATTTGCAGGTAAAATTTTTAATTTGCAGCAACATTTTTAATTTGCATGTGTGACCCTTCTGGGCCACCGTAACTCTCTCTCCAAGACTAACTTAAGTTAGGGCCCAACACTGCATGTTGTACATAAGTATAAAAATCTCCTATATCAAAAGACGTTTTTTTAACTCAATAAAAAAAAAAGACACAACTAGCTCAGTCATCGATTTTTGTTTTGTTTTGTTTCGGAAAAGTTGGACATAAGAATTGGTATTTCAAACTCAAAAAAATACATTACTACCGGAACAGCAAGAATTTTAAGAAAAGTTTTAGAGTTATAGAGGAAGGAGGTGAACTCGAAGGGGCCTTTTAGTGGTCATGGGTTATGAATCACTCTCTTGGCAAATAAATCGGTATGAGATCAGCCAGCACACAAAGCAAGAAATAGTAATAATAATAATAATAATAATAATAATAATAATAACAACAACAACAAAAATAATAATAATGATTATTATTATTATTATTATTATTAATTATGAATAGTTTTTCTTTTCTCAAGCGAATTAATTGTAAATAGGATTTTAATAGTTAGCTTTGTTGTCAATAAAATTTTTTCATTATAAAAATTATTATTATTGTTATTATTATTATTATTATTATTATTATTATTATTATTATTACAACAACAACAGTAACAACATTCTTTTTTCGAACCTGTATCTAAACTTGGAGCCAAGTTTGATGAATCCAACATCTTTGGGTGGCAGATCAGCCTGTGAAAGTCTGAAGAATGAATGGTGTTCCACTCCAACTTTCCAGAGTCTTTTTGTTGCCCTTAAGCTTGCGAGTTTAAAACTTAGTACTGTCCCTCCGTAATAATCGTTCTGTGGAATAAGTATTAGATACATTTTGTACATATACTATCAGATGCCGCTTTAATAAAGGGTGAAGTGAATAGAGGGCCCTTTTGCTAAGTCAGTAGCTCGAAAAAAAAATTGAAATGACGTTGAAAATTACCCACACTAAAACACAATACCTAACTGACAATGGTTTCAGAAAAACCAAGAAACACCAAAAAAGCGTCATTTCACTTACAAACCTGAGGACTACAATGCGCTTATTTTACATGCATCTCTTCATCACTGCTCAACTCATTACTTTAGAGCTACTTAAACGTACATGTACACAGAAAGTTAAAACAAGATTTTCAGGTCACACATGGAAATTAACTCTGGACTTCCTGGAAAGGAGGACACATACTCAAAAACTGCACCAGTCAAAAAGCCTTAATAATAAGTGAAAAGCACAAGACTGATGATTTTGACAAATTTGTGAAGGAAATGTTAGGAGGGCAGGGGTGTAAAAGATAGGGGGATGGGTTCAACAATTATTTTCTTGTTACAAAATGAGGAGGACTCATGAAGATTAACAGTTTCTCTCTCCGAGGAATTCACCATTAAGACTAAGTATCTGTCCCAAAGAAGTGTCCAACTTAGATAAAAGAAGAAAAAAATAAATACCTGCCTAAAATGACTGACGATTAGCAGGGATCAACTCTAAGTCCATCTGGGATCATTATGTACATTTCTGGGAAACTGCCCACCTACCCCTCCCCTAAGCCAACATTTGGCCCTAAGTGAGAAGTAAGTGTTAATATTGGCTTGGGGGAGGGTTAGGTGGATAGTTTCCCAGAAACGTATAATAATGCCTTATTTGGCCATTTTTATGAGGTTTCCGTTACTGCGAGAGTTGGTGCCGTGGGGAGGGGGTTGAGAACAACTTATCCTGTTATAAATAAGAGTTCTAACCTCACTTGCTGGCCTGATTGACAATGTAAACTTCTTCTTTTTAAAGGCGATTTTCACTATTTTGGGCCTGTTGAAGAAAATAAACACTGCAGTTGATTGAACAAAACAGTTGGAACATCACGTGTTGCATAATTAAATTCAAGTTAAAATTTTTAGGTTTCAGGTTAAAATTGTTTTACCAAGGTTGATTCTCAATTTCCTTTGTCTCATAGCCCAGATTATTCACGAATTAGGGATAGGGGATAAAGAAAATTGAGATTAAAATTTTTTAAACCTATTAATATTGACCTGTAACACATAAATTATAGTGATAGCAGGCCTATAAGTTTAATTTGCTACATGTAATCTAAGCAAATAATAGCTTAGCACTGAATCCTGAATGCTTTGCTTGTTTCCAGAGTGTATGGCTAGTATTTTTAGTGCACTAAACAGCAAAAAAACAACAACAACAACTGAGGAGGTAACTTGTATCTCGTACTGGAATAATATTTTTCATACTTTGGTTAACTCCGCCTTTCAATAACATGCAAACTGAAATAAAAGTTAAAAATTTAACCAGCAGTTGCGTTTTTTGCTACCACCAACCATTATTGCCACAAAACAAAATAAAATGGATCAAGATCCACCAATTACAACCTACAGATGTGAACCCACTGAGGAAACCTATGTTTCCTGAGAAGTCTGTTAGGGCCATTTACAGAAGCGAAAAACATACACATCAGTTACATTTTTTACTCAAGAGTTTACATCTTATCGAAAAGTGAAGTAACATACCATACAAACTTGTTGATCAATCGACTGTTGTGAAAGATATGAATTCCCCAAGCTGACACTCCTATGATTACATTCTGTCCTTCTGCATCCTAAAAGGCAAACAACAAAGTCAAAATCAGAGTCAAATGAAACAGTGAGTTTCCTCCATGCAACAGGAATAAGTGGATAACCTGGATAACCCATAGAGTGCTTTGATCAGTTTTGTGTACCAGTAACCAGAAAATAAATACCGTCAACTGGCTACATGGACTTTTCAAAGCTTTAAAACAGAACCAACTTGTTTGTCAAATGTATCAACAACATACACGACTGCATCAAGGAGGTTCTCAAAAGACAAAAAAAAAGGTCAGTGTAAAAGGAAGACTGTGGACTGCGGACTGCAGACTGCAGACTGCGGACCAGGGCTAAAATGCAGAGTAAGTGTAAAATGCAGACTGCAGACTGAGAGTAAAACGCAGGCTGGGTGCAAAATGCAGAATAAAGACTAGACTTTTTTAAACACTTAATTGTGCTCCTTCTTCTCCAAATGGGTGAAATAGCTAGCCGGTATCAGTTACACACACTTTGCTTCCTAGAAGAAGTGCATTGCACATTCGCCAGAAGTTTCAATGAACATCCGAACAGCTGGTCTGCGTACTTGATTTGCAATAGAACATTTTTCCTTGTTGTTGGAATGATTATTACTCCCTTTTTTATCGCTATAATTCTTCCTGTACAGTATTTTGGGTCAGCAGCTTTCACTTAAGCATAAACATTGTGGTGCTGTACCAATTCATGGTCCCTGGTCATGCAGTATCGAAAACTTCGCGTCTAAAGTTGTAGCGTGAGGTTTAAAAAAGGTTCAAGATTGTGATCATGTTTTTGGGTCATCGACGACATTCCAGAGAAGAAAGGAATGGATTTGTGAAGGAGATGTCGTCAAGTAAGCAAGTAGTGTTCGATTACATGTATTTTTTTTTGGGGGGGGGGGTTTGCCCTTTTTAAACCTTTCCACGAGACCACGCCTACAGTTTATACTCAGTCTGCATTTTACCCCAGCCTGTGTTTTACTCTCAGTCTGCATGCAGTCTGCATTATACACACAGTCTGCATTTTACCCCTGGTCTGCAGTCTGTAGTCCGCAGTCTGCGTTTTACACTGACCGCAAAAAAAAGGCTGAGAAAATCTTTTACTTCAAGTCAAAAAAGGGGGCATACTTTCATATACATATAATAAAATGGTTGGGTCTCCACCATACGTCTTGTGATGGTGGTTTTTATTATGACAGCTGCTGCTCATTATATTTTTTAGCTTCCAAGTAGCCAAAGGTATCAAAACAAAACTGTACACACCACAGCTGTGTGCAGGTCAACTCCATAAAGTGGAAGCTTCCTTGCATTGTCCAAATACTGCAGCTCCGCATCCTCAGGTGTCATTCCCCTAAGGAAATTGTGAACCAAAATGCAAAAAAAAATTTACTTTAGGTTTTAGCGAGACCATACTAATTGAGGACACTAATATTTTACATCCACTACTGAATCAGAGACAACACATTTTTTGCGCTTCAGCTAAGCCATGTAAAGATCTCATCCCCCACTTGACCTCATTTCTCCCTCACTTCTCAGTTCTTTTAAGGCCCTCAGTATCAGTCAGGCCCCGAGAATCGAGCCTTGTGATATTGGGCTCTGTAGTCAAGCGCTCTATCAACAGAACTCATAATTATTTCTATTAGTGGTGTAACGATTAATCTAATTCTCGATTAATCATGATCATGATCGTTCGGTTCGATTCACGATTCTTTGCTTCCACGTTTAGATTTTGGTTTGATTTCTGCACACCTTTTCCAGGGTGCCCTTAGTGAGTTATTATATTGTAAAATCGGAATCCAGAACACTTTAAATTGTGGGTTTATGATTGACGAGCAAAGACGATAGCATTTTGTGCGCCATTTTGTGTTGCCTGGTAAAAATGCTGTCCTTCAACCACCCCTTGAGAATTTCCAAATAAGGCAAACTATGTGTGACACGCTCTTTGTCAGGTTCTCAACCATGGCGACAAACCAAGCGACTGTGAATCCTCCTGTCCGTGCTACTATTCTCAAATTGAGGATTTAGGGCTGCATGTTGTTTACATTACCCGTTATGTTATAAGAATAAAGAAACATTCACACAATCAAATCGAAATAATCGAAATCGAAAGGTACTAATCGAAATTGAATCGAACCGCAAGGAATATGAATCGTTACACCCCTAATTCCTATACCGATTAGAGTAAGCAGTAGCTGCACATTATTAACCTACACACTGTAGGTGCTAATTTACCTGTGTTTTTTGTGAAACTCATGTACCTTCTGAAGCATCTCATTAGGCTGGAAAAAAAACAAACAAACAAACAAAACATCAATAACCACATTTCAAAGCAGCAGTGTACAGTAAGTACCAAAGCTACAGTACCACTCAAAAGAAAGTTACCACCCTCTTGCGAGTCGCGAATCACGTCGCGCGCAACGCGATTCCTGTAGCACAGGACGCAATTTTCCTAGCGCGTGATGGCCTACAAACTGTAAATACATTAACTTTGTGTCATGGCCGCAATTCTTCAGCGATTTCAAGAATCGATGGGGCCTGGCGCACGCTACTGGTGTACACAGCTAAGAATCTCACATCGTTTGGCTCTTATGAACTTATTAAAACTCAGATCGCATCGATATTTGGCAAGAAGTTAAAGTTTATACACAGCTTTTCACTGAATATTTTTTTCCTGGCTGTAAGACCAAAATAAAATTGAAATATGAAAAATATGGCTCAAAATGGGACCATTTTTTAACTGCTCGCGTAACATTTACAGTCTAACCACGCATATTGTGGGATTTCTCTGTTTCTGTTAATGGTACTTTGCAAAAATTTCTCCGAAGAGGTCAGTGACTTATGAGTACTAACTGTATTAAAAATTACTGAACATAATGGCAAAACAACAAAGTTTAGGGCGTTTTCAGAAAGATGTTCTGTCTACATCGATCTCTGTGTATGAACGTTGACGTCAATTTAAAAGATTGCTTTTCATTGACTTTCTATTATTGTTAAGAGAAGAAATAATAATTTTTGGAATGCTCATAAGTTAAATTTTCCTTATAGACTAACTGTTAAGAATTCGGGAAACCCATTTTTACGCTAAGATCAAATATGTAAGGTTAGACAGCATTTTTTTAATGTGAAAACTTGTAAACCGTGCGTTGGATCGAAAATCGGATTCTAGAGTGTGCTTAGGCATAAAGATTTTGTGCCTAGAATGTGCCTAAGATGTGCATAAAGTGTGCATTTTAGTTTTGAAAAACGTGCCTAAGCCGTGCCTAAGTTGTGCCCAAACTGTGCCTAATCTGTGCACAAGTTGTGCCAAAATATTGAGTCACTCGGAAAATCGTGTCCAGCCTATCGAGCTCCACAGCGAACGAAAAGGGCGCCACGGCAATTATGTCAGTTTTGAGGTTTACTGAAGTCTAGAAACACGGTCTGACGACCTTTTTATCCCATAATAAGAAATAACATGACTCAGAATACGGTTTGAGACAGCAGGGAAAGCCCCGACAAACAGGAAAATGGAATCTTAAACAGGTTAGCGTATTTAAAGTAAGTGCTCAGCATGCAATTACATTGTTGATATTATGCTAATTTCATCGATGTTAAAAAATTTCCAAGTAGGTTTCTTCTCCCCTTCTTAATGGGCGTTTAGTTGAAAGCGAAATATTTGTTTTTTTCAGGAGGGCAGATTTGCATTCAAAAAAAAGAATTTACTTGTGATATGACTTATAAAATGAAAGAAAAAAAATTGATTGCGCCCGATGAGTTTTGATGAAATAAATGGCACGTCTCATCAATTATTATACGATCAAAGCTTAATTTGCTAACAGAGCCAGAAAACAAAAACAAACAAGCAGCTTGAATTATTTTACTACAGTGTAAATCCTACTTTTTTAGTTAGAGAAATATTTTTAAAAACCAGCCGCATTTTGTATTTAAAAATAACACGCGTTGGCATGAAGGTTTCAAATTACCACTCTGTACTTCTCATGTTGTTATGCAAATTCAGGCCAATTTTACCGCGATCGCAAAAAGTATTTTCTACGACTTTTATTGGCTATTTTTGTGCCTCACTTCTTTAGCTTTGTTTTTGTTATTATGGCTTCGACTTTCTTTCACGATTTCTTTTAGAAACGAAAGAAAGCAAGTCTATAAAATTGCATGGCAATTAGCCTGCGAAAACATCCGTTTCTCCTCGCTCTTCGCCGCTGAGGACGTTTCGCGAGGAGGAACGTCTGCGACTCAGCGGCAGAAATTCCATACTGATGACGCAAATCAATGTTTACATAATAAATCCGGTAGTCATGGGGTTCCAAATACAAATTTGTCCAATTTTACGTGTCTTCTGGTCGATTTTGGTAAAGTGTTGGGTTCATCTGCCAACGAGTCCAAAAAAAACTCAAACGCTTCTTCTAGAGAAGAGTATATTCCACAAATATTGACTGTTTTACACGAGATTCTTCCCGTTTACATTTGACCTTTGTGACCTTTTGTCTTTTGTCTGTCATTCGTAAACAATAGCTAAAACAATGTAACTACCCCTTCGACCAATCAGCTCTTCTGACCAGATTCCGGACAGATTTTATGTCATCAGTATGGAATTTCTGCCGCTGAGTCGCAGACGTTCCTCCGCGCGAAACGTCCCCAGTGGCAAAGACCAAGGAGAAACGGATGTTTTTGCAGGCTACATGGCAATCAAGAAGGTTCAGACCGGCATATATCGCGTGTGAATTTCCACTTTATCCTCGGAGTAAATACGGACTGTCGAAGAATACTTTAATTTTCCAGACTTTCGGCGCGGCTCAAAACTTACACTTCCTATACTTCTAACTGTATCGTGTTTGATCTGAATTATTTTTGTAATTCGTACCAAGTTTGTTCTTTTTTGCAAGTCGGGTTACAAAGATTTTCAAAAAAGTGCCCAGCGTTGAATATTTGTGCCCAAACCGTGCCTAAACCGTGCCAAAACTGTGCCTAAAGTGTGCCTTAGCAATATTTAAAACGTGCCTTAACTGTGCCTAAAGTGTGCCTAATCTGTGCCTTTGCATGTTTTTTTCCCGTGCTTTGGCACAAAACCGTGCCTTTTCTTGAGCGCGAATCGTGCGTACGGCACGGTGTTACGCTCGTGTACACCAGTAGCGTGCGCCAAGCCATGGTAAAGCTTTACTGTGACTGACACGGGAACACAGTTTTACCTCTGCGATGTGTAGACTGTTGCATATTAAAATTCGCTTTCTGGTTCGATGATTCTCGTGCTATGCGATTCTCGTCACACAGGAAATGAGACGCGACTGGTAACTTACTTTTGAGCCGTACTGTACAGTCAGAGTAAAAGCCACAGAGCAGCATTGTTTATAGTTTTTAACTGCACTTGGCTGTGTACAATCTAATGCTCTGCATTAAGCAAATCATTGTTAAGTAATTATTACTTGTTTGCTCATCAGTACATTAAGTAACCCATAGAAGGCATCACAGTGTAAACAATTAAACTTTAAAAATTAAAGAGCTGACTATTAAACTCAAGAAAATTGTGCACTTAACAGGTTTTTGGAAGCAACATCAAAGAAAATAGCAGCCATCAAAGACTGCAAAATTGCCAGGTGGTGAAAAACATTAATAATTGAGTTTTTAGAAACGAGAATTTCTCTGAAATTGTTCAGTACTTTGGGTTTATGTAACATGGTTATGCTCTACCATTATTCAGAGATGTTGTGTTATTAAAATTAATTATATATGTACATGTAGCAAAGGCCATGTAAATAGGGCAAGGAATGTTTACAAAAGAAAGATTTGTCTATAGGGCCCCAGTGTGCTGAACCACACTGTACTGTTTGTAACCTCACATCTACACAATAATTAACTTTACTAAAGATTATTACACATACATTACAGTAGAGGAAGGCTCAGCAACTACACTATACATGTTATATAATATTAATTAATATTTACTGATTGCATTAATCCTGTTACTCTAACATTGTATGTACTTGGGTTAATAAAATATTTAACATACCGAGAACAGAACTTAACAATCTACCTGTTTGGGACAGAACTTAAAGTCTGAGAGATAACGGGCATCTTCTCCATGATCTTCGGGTTCATAGTCTCCCATTTCAGCTATTGTTTAGGGTGGGTAAAAGAAGAAGAAAACAAAAATGTGTTGAAATGCTGGTTCTAACTAGCGACAGTGCCAGAAGTGAAGTTGCTAGAACACAAGGCTCCCTGTGTTTTAAATGAATTTTAGCATCAACAGCATGGGAGTGAATGACATTGGTAAATCTACCTTGTACAACAAATGAGCCAAGCAGAGCATGGATTGGAACAGAACACTGCAACCTGAGAATGCGAAACATAAAATATCCAGTTAACTAATTAATTAATTATTTATTTATTTATTTATTTTATTAATTATTTTGTGTAGAATAATAATTATTCCAGGGCCTGGAATACCAGAGAAATTTAAGGACTTTTCAAGACTGTGCCAACCCTGATATATCACAAATTTTGTTAAAGTTATGATTAATATTACTGGCACCTTAGAACAGAACTTTGTATCGTCCACTTCAGTCTGTAATCATACTCATCATTAAACAAATCAGACTCCCACTATGCTGTCGTCCAATTTTACAATCACTCATATGATTACAGACTGAATTGGAATCCACTCAGCACTGTTGCCATTACGAACACAGCTTATGTGTACTTATTTTATTCAATACGGAACTGGTTTTCTCACCTTCCCTTGAGAAGATCTTCCCTCAATTGCAATACCATTAGGTACCTAAAGAATGCAAGTTAATAGTAACATTATTAAAGACAATTTTTTGGGCCTTTTTAGCAAATACATGTACATGTTACCCATTATTAAAAAAAAATTACCCATTGACAGTACATGTACAAATAATATTATTTTAATTAGAAATTATGAAAATAAGCCACAGAGCAAGATAGTCTCAAACTGAAAGTGTACTGTAAATTTTACATACTAGCAGCATTCTGTGTCCTCGTCCTTGACACATAAAAATTCTCAAGGACAAAAAAAAAAAATTGATGACTTGTGTCCTCTAGGATACAACAATTGATGGATCTAAAAATGTTTTCAAAAAATGCCCTATTTGCGCGCGATATGAAATATGTGTTGAAAGCTCTAGCTACCTCCAAACAAAAGAGTAATTTTGTCCACTCATTAAACAGGTTAAGAATAATTTCTGAACAAATAGACACAAATATTTCCATGCAGCATTTTTTTGTTAAAAGTGGCCGTGCTTATTTTATCTTTGCCATGGAAAGCATGTTGCTAAACCAAGATGGCAGACAGTGGTTTGTGTCTGAGAGGCTTTATTCTAAATGATTGTATAAAGCTGTAGGGATTGTTAACATTAAAAAGAATTAGAAACAAGAATATTTTTTTTTTTGTCAAGAAGACTGTAATAATTATTTAATTTCAATACACTGTAATGTACATCAGGGGCACCCAACAACGGTTTTCCTCCCACAATATACACTGAAAACACTTTTTAGGCTATCAAGAGTACTTTTTGATGGGCACTATGAAATTTGTATTGTTCGGTCACCCTAGGGCAACTTGAGTCTGTTCAAAATAATTTTTTATTAGGACTCTAGTATTACTTTCCCAAACATTTTAGATGCAAAAAATTAATGTTTTACAAAAGTGAGAATTTTTCTAATTCCTCTCTCATCTGAACAAAATTAATTTTCAGGTTTCCTTTTGGCTACGCAAAATAGCCTCACCTGGGGAGTAAAATGTGAAAAATTAAACTTCAGAAAATCATAGGGAATTTATTAGATAAGCTTTGAATATTGTACATTAATGGAACACTCATATGAAAATTTTTAGCCATCCTCAAGTAACAGAAAATTCTAGGCAATATTTGCCTCTCCAAACAGATATTTTACAGAAAACAGTTGTTGGGTGCCCCTGATGTATTACAGGGATAAGTGCATTGCTATTGAGAGTAGACTACAGATTAAGTGTGATTGTCTGGTTTTATGAGAGTTCTGGCATCTTTCAATATAGTTAGGCCTCATTGGATTTTGAACTGGGGCTCATGATTTTTCATGACATGAGATGAGTCCCAGGACTCACTATTAGCAAATTGTAACAAAATCACTGCTAAAGTATACTTCTACAATTTTTTATTACAGAGTGAAATTGATCAAAATATTAATATTATTTTTTTCAGTGTCCATCCTTCTTCTGTTTTTTTTTTTCTAACTGACAATAATATGCAATTTATGAAAATAGAGGACACAGGTATATTAATTTTAAATTAATGATTATTGTTAATTAAGTAATTATTTTGTCTTGGTAATAAAGCTACATTTGTACCTTGTGATATCTTCAACAAGTGCTGTTGGGTTTGGAGGGTAAAACTTGACAGCAAAGTAGAAATGATAAGGCTCTGTTGAGAAACAAAGGATTTGTTTTGATCTACAGCATTGTACATGTAAAGCTACATCATTGGTGTGAACAAGTTTTGAACAAAGTTGAATTTTGAATTAGTTCATCAAGTACATGTATGTGAGGATGCTAAATGCCCCAGGTTGAGTCTTGGTAATTTGATAAAACCTCCAGCAATTCCATATATGATATAGCATTCCTAAGACCAGCAGACCTTAAAGGAGAAGTTCATTTCAAAATGGCAAGTTTTTTTGTTTCACCAACTAAAAGATCATACAAAGGTAGGTTACTCACCAAAATTTCAGCCTCTAAAGAGCTTTTCAACCCTATGAAATCCTTGTCTGAAGTAGCCTGAAATTCCAGATTCGACTGCCACCGTCTTAGAGAACTGCTAGCAGCCTGGTGACAAGTAAGTGACGTCCAAGCGCTCAACCTGAGTTTTGCCTCCTTGTGCAGCTCCGGCAGAAGTGTTGAGTGCTTTAATCTTATTCATGAATCCTCCCGCCAAACTCAGGTTGAGTGCACTGACGTCACATACTCATCACCAGGCTCCTAACAGTTCTCAATGATGGTGGCCGTGAGATCTCGAATTTGAGACGAGGATTTCATAGGGTTGGAAAGGTCTTTGGAAGCTGAAATTTCAGTGAGTAACCCTCCTTTGTATTAACCTTTTTGTTGGCAAAAAGACAAAAAGCCATTTTGGAATGAACTTCTTCTTTAAGACCCTAGATAACTACAGTGTAGGAACATACACCTATATCTGGGCATAACCAAAAAAGGGTCATTAACAACAACAAGAAAAACTTGGAAAATATAATTTTGTTCACCAAAGGTCTGAGAAAACCATTAGGAATGGTTTTAGAAAAAAATCACATAATTTGCCGCATAATAGACCTTTCTTGCCGCATAATTTCCCTTGAAAATGCCGCAGAATTTCCCATTTTTTGCCGCACCCTATCAGAAGCCCTGGATATGCTACAGTTCACCTACCATGCTTTAACTGTTTCTTGATGGGCCTAAGTGGATCTAACCAATTGTACTGTAAAAAACAATTATTAAGATTCAGTAAGAATACCGTAACACAAACTGTGCAGTCAGGTTGATCCTTTTCAATGCACATTTTGACAAACTTCGTAAAAATCAATAATGAACATTTATGTTGCACAGTATCTTCCAATTTATTTTTACAATGTTATTCCTGCTGTTACTGTACCTGGCCATCTTTCTCATCAATGTAACGTAAACCAAAGTAATCCCTCTCAGCTAATTCAATTTTCTCACAGATCTTGTCAAACAAAACTTGCCCCTTTGCATTTTTCTACGAAAAAATGACACAATATTGACAAAATAAGAAGGCACAAGTAAAACTGTAATAGCAACTCTGATATTAAGCAATGGTGGGATTTCAAAAAATTGATCTCAAATAACATCCACTGCTGACATATTCCACAAGAAATCTCATCACAAATCAAAAGTGCTGTGGACAAAATAAAACACATACCGTCAAACCCCGTTAATACGGACACTGAAGGGCCCATAGAAAGTGTCCGTATTAACGGGGTGTCCGCATTAAAAGGGTTGAATTTAGAGAAAATGTAAAGGCTTTCTTTCCCCACGGATAAAGCAAATTGTCTGTAATGATGAGGTGTCCGTATTAAGCGGGTGTCTGTAAAGCGGGGTTCGACTGTAACAAATTATTATGCTTATAATGTGCTATGGAAACCTTGTGCAGAGTCTCCAAAATATCTAATTTTGTGAGTCTAACAACAGTTTATACACTGCAGAAACTAAGTACAGTGGCAATATTCTTTAATGCATAATAATGTAACCTTCAGTAAACTTCACATTTTTTTAAACAATTCACACTTTTTCATAAGGTCTCCCTAAGATTGCCACCATTAGGACTGGAGTTGGAGTAGCAGAGTGCAAAGAAAGTCATGTCAGATAGCCCAGGGCTGGTGGACTTTGCTATCAGGCGAATGATTTTTGTTCTTAACTTGCCCGACAGGCAAGTACTGTTTCTTGAGGGAATTCAAATTACAAAAGGATTGTAATCAATCCTACTAATCAAAAAGGGTTTTGGGGCTAGTTGAAATGACTTGCGAGCTAGTACATGCTAGCTACAGCTTGCCCGCATGGCAAGCTGTAAAACTGACTTTCTTTCCACCCTGAGTGGCCTCTCAGATAGCTTGAGAAAACAGCTGTCTCTCCTTTCTCCTTGCTGTTAGGGACGTTTTGTCAGGAGAGACAGCACCTCAGCAACAGAAATTCCATACTGATGAGGTAAACCAATGTTTATTTACTTTATAACTAATCCAGTAGTCATAGGGTTCAATAAATTTTGGTAAGGTTTTGTGTTCTTCTGTGAACGAGCTCCAGCCGTAAAACTCACAATCTTAATCTTCAGAAGAATATATTCCACAAATACTGACAGTTTTGTAATCACAGTTACATTTGACCTTTGTGGCCTTTTGTCTTTTGTATCTCATTCATAAACAAGAAGCTCACACAACATTTCTACTAGATCAACCAAACAGTGCTCCTGACCAGATTCTGGACAGATTTTTACATCATCAGTAAGGAATTGCTGTCGCTGAGGTGCAGACGTCCCTCCTAGAGTCACATCCCTAGTGGTGAGGAGCAAGAAGAGACAGCTGTTTTCGCAGGCTACCTGTCAGAGAGGTGCCCACCCTACTGTACGTATAGCATCAAAGAATATGGCTCACAAAAAGGCAGGGACCAACCCTAGGTATCCATTTTAGTGAAAGATGCCTATTGCACATGACTGTCATAGAGTTAACTGCAGATAATCACTAGTCACTTTGACAATTCAAAGAAAAAGGTTAAGGTGAAATAAGGACCAACATGATTTTTCTCAGCCTAGTAGATTATAAGTACAATTACACAAAATTCACGATACACTTCCTCCTCTAAAAAGGCACAATATTTATAAACTCATTAAATATTCCTCCTATCCAACCACAAATTTATACATGTATACTGATAAGATTTCCGCGCAGCCCCATATATACATTTGCTATGTAAACATTTTTCAACTCCATGAATTCATATTCACTGTAGGACCATGAAATAATTGCTGCATACATAACAAACAAAAAGGGCTGTACGGAAATGTTTCCAAAATATTTAATTGATCGTCTCTGTTAACAATGCTTGTAATTGTCCTGTCAAGGATTAAACAACAGCTTTCATCACAATCAGAACGAAAAAGATAAATTTCCAAACGACTGCCTCGGACAAAGAAAGATTACCAAGCGGCTATTTTGTAAAATACAATACATACACTGTAGGTAACCAAAATATTTATAAATACGGTTTAAAAACATAAGCTTCGTGAAACAGTTGTAAAGACCTCAGCAATATAATGACGGAAAATAATGCAAATCTACTGTAAAAGTTTCGTATTAACAAGCAATGAAAGTTTCAAATACACAGAAAATTATAAATCATTGCCACAATGGCTTCTTGAAGTGTCTTAAAATGTAATTGTTTTTCTTTTTTTAATTCGTTAACCTGATTCATTTCGTCTGAGAACTTCTCGCTTAGCGAGGACTAGAGAAAACCTATAACAACCTGGAAGGACGTAAAGACATCTTCAAAATTATAAAACATCAACAAGAAAAGAAAGGAAGTATGTAAGTTATTAACAATGCGCGGGTTTCCTGAGCTTGCAGAATCAAATTTTGAAATAATGAATTTCCCTTTGGAACGGACGGAACAAACACGTTGAAGTCATTGACTGATCACGAGAGAAACCAAAAATTAATTGACCGAGTATTATCGATTATAGACCTTCTACTAATCTTCTCATAAACAGGGAAGTTTAGAAATTAAAACCTTTGGCTCATTAAGACCGTTTGATCCGACAGACAGTAAACTACAAATTAAAACCTTAAATAAACAGAAGTTACAGGACTTGCTCGACTCGAGCGCCATTTTAAAACACGAAAGGCCCCCTAAGAAAACATAAAAATCTTACGTCTAGGTCCACAGTGGTACTTTCATCATCTAGCAGTTGAACTTCACAGTGCAAATCGTGAGATTTTACCATGCTGGTTTAGATTGGATAACAATAAACTTGTAGGAAGCGAATTCTACTGCTCCGCGTCTAATTGAATCCACTCCCTCCCAGCCTCGATTGCAATCTGTCGATGTAGCTCCGTTGAATTGTGGGTAAATTACTTGTGTTCGGGAGAACGTCTGTGGTTCGTGGAAACTTCGGAAGGAGTCGAAAGCAAGCGGGGAATCCCCTTCGGGCCCTGCCCGCGTGACGTGCTATCAAAAACAAACAGGCAGGGGCAACATATTTTTGAAATCGAAAGTTCATTGCATAGGTATTATTTCATACTTTGTATCATTCTAATTCGAGTCTTTAAAAATTGGAGTAACTTGACTAGGAAGAGAGATGACAACTTGTTTTCAAGATTTAAAACAAGTTGAAGGTAAAAACAGTGATTTGATCGAGTCTCCACCAGAAAAGATTGGGGAAGCAAACGACGGCGGAATTGGAAAAATAAAGCAAGCAGGAGGCGATGATGCGTACGTTTTCGACGTCGATGCACGAGTCATGCAAATTGGACGCGAAAATGGCATATTTATCGGTTCAATGGACACGATTCCTGCTTCTCTTAGTGGCACAGACGACGAAGGTGAAAAGGCACCGACGCTGAAAGAATATTTTAAACCCGACGGCTTACTGCGCGTGGGACGAAGTCGATGCTGCTTCCCTGATTGTAAAAACGACCACTTGGTTCAGCTCTTAGTCTGCAAGAATCAAAAAACGAGAGAAACACTCGATATTTCAGAGAATTACTACATAGCAGTGACAATTGCTCGGAATGATGGCCAACTCAGTTATCCAGTCGACTGCGACTACATGCGTATCAAAACTGAAACCGAAAAAGGCTTGAAACTATCCATGGCAGGTGTGGCCGGGTTTCTCTTCCGTTTTTATGAACCAAACACCAAGTACTTGGTCACTTTCGCTCTGAAAACCGGTCCAACGACGAAGAAGAGTAAAAAGAAACGTAAAAAACAACAAAACTTGTGGAAAACGGTGAGCGAACTTACAATCCAACTGGAAACGGGGTCGAAACGGTGTAACTCACGGAAGCCCAGAAAGGCTCTGGCAACAAGAAATGTGACCCCACAGTCTGAGTTGGAACCTGCCTCGCTTACTGAAGAAGGTATGGAGCTTTTTAGGCGATCTATGTGGGTGATGAAAGAGCTACAATCGCTTCGTGACAATGCGAGGTGGAGCGATTTCGATGATCGCGCAAATGAACTTCTGCTATCTTATACAGATATTGACACAATTGTTGCCATTAAATTAGAGCAGAGCGTGGCAGCCTGTTACAAGAACGATTTGGAACACTCGTTACAGCTATTAGACGAGGCCTTCAGTCTCATGTCGGGAGCCACCAACGTCCTAGTTTTAGCTGGAAGGGGATACGGCTACCGCGCTGGTGTCAAGAGACGTCAGCGGAATCTTGGCGAAGCGCAACAAGACGTTCAGTTGGCAGAGCAAAACATTCGCGCGTGTCACACAAGCCTAGATGCGAGCTTCATTGCTTACGAGAGAGCGAGCGTGTTGCTAGATTTCATCGGCCGCCTGTCTCAACGGAGCCCCAAACAAGTCGAGGAGGCTTTACGTAATTTGGAAAAGTGTATCGATGTGTGTTTAAGCGTTGAAATGCAAGATGAGAAAATGTATGTGAAGAAACATCACTTTGCTTTCATAAAAATTGCAATGCTTTTGCTCGATTGCCGCACAGAGGCCGCACGTGAACGAGTTCTGAGCGAAGAGTTCATCGCAAAAGGCGAGAAGTGTCTAAAGACGCTGGAAACCAAATACTGGTCGCAGATCGCAGAAGGAGTCAAAGTTCAGTTCTACCTGGCAAGTTCAGACTTAGAATACCGAAAGGGAAACTGTCAAAACGCTGAAAATTTTGCCAGTTTAGCTAAGGACAGAGCGGTACATCTGGGTTTCAACACGGAAATTTCTCACGCACAAGAACGACTGGATCACATGCGTGTCGTCACGCGTGGAACTCATAATGCCAGGCCTTTGTACATGGCCAGAGGCGCAAGTGCTAGTGAGGGAGAATATGGCGATATCAGCTCAGATATTAGCCTATCGGGTTCTGAATCGGATTGGCAAAAGATTTTGAAGCCTACTGACTAGTGACCGGTCACACAATGCTCGTTTACCTGCCATTACTAAATAAACCGTCTCCAACCAAAACGATGGGGGAGATCAGTATTGGAACTCACATCTTCCAATCTCTTAGGTGATAGCCATCATGTGCATAGTATTTGACTCTAGTAAAAAAATAAATCATGACTGTAGAGCGAACAATCAAACAAACATTAATGATTTAGCAATGCTGAATCAATAATTGCGATAAGTTGTACTTGCTTGATTGAAATCAATGTCTTTCATTACAATCAATAATTTTCCATACAAGGAGCCTGTTATTAATTGATCAAACAGAAGCCGCGGACAAGTTTTGATAATCGAGGTCTTTTTAGGGAACAGTTATTACTGTTCTGTTTTCGCGCATTAATAAAGGCCAAAAGTTTTGGGACTTTTCCAGTGAAATTGGTAACTAAAGACCTCCCCTTCCCAGCCCAAACAATGTTGAATTTTGACCACAGTGGGTGTAAATGAGTCCTTTTTGGGCGCATCATTGCTGAGAGGAGTAGGGAGGGCGGGAGCCTGAAGGGACGAATCAAAGCCATATCATAGATATTCTTATCAATTATTTTGGCCAATCAGTTGACAGCTGTTGAGTAGAGTATTCGATCGAACTAGCCTGAATCAATGTCGATCTGTTACATGTACTGAATGAATAAATAATAAGTAAAACATCGGTCAAAGGGACGCGACATTTTTAGTATTCACAACTGATCATGAAATAGGGTTTAAAATAAAAATTAACAAACAAATAACAAACTGTAGAAATTCGGTCAGAGGTAACTTCTGGGACATTCTAGGTATATATATAGGTCTTGACAAGTAATGTATCAAACATGACCCTTAGGCCAGTTTCAAACGTTGTGTTACTGTCGCGCGTGTCGAATGCGTGGCTGGCTCCAATGTCACGACTATAAATGCTTGACTCATGACCATTCAGTCGAATAAAACAGATTTTGTCAAAAACAAATCGACTTTAAGTACGCAACTGCCGTGCTTAAGACGAATCCATTAATTCGGTCTAATGACCTCTCGAGTTCGGTCAGAAGAGAAACCAATACTGGGAGGATGGAAGGTGCGTTGCATTTGCTTGAAACGAATCTAAAAAAAAGTGCAAATGAGCGAGAAAAATAGATTTTCCATCTTTACAGTGGCATTAGCATGAAATTCAGCGCATGTGCTGGCAGCGAAAACGTTACCTAAAACATAGTTTTCCGCTGATTCAAAACTCATTTCTCTTCTTTCTATCTTGCTTAAATTGTCAATTGGTGAATTTTCGTAGAGTGGAATTCGTAAGTATCGCATCCTGACTGGCTCAGAAAAAGAAAATAGAAATCTTCGGACGGTCTCGTGTTTACGTTCTCCATAAAACATAAAAGCAGAAGTCGAAAGACCAATTCACACCAAAGCTTAAACATATTTAAACGAGAAAAAGGGTTTATAAGCCTGGTTGCAAGTTACTATTATGTTGGGTATGAAACGGTAAAAATTTACATATAATAAGATGTATTGGCGTGACATTTCACCCTATCGTCAGTTTTTCATAATGTTGGGTAATATATTTACAGAAAAATATGAATTTATTAAATGTAAATTTATTGGTGTGGAGGGGGCCTGACGCGCACGAGTAGGTTGTAACAGTAAATGTATCAATCCAGCCATCTGAAAGCCCTTGGACTTAACTTTCGAATCATGTTTCGAATGCATCGCGACAAGGGAGATGGCCTGAGTGCGGTTTTTCGTTTTGACTTCGCGCACGAGCGGGGAATCCCCGATCAGTACGTGACGTCATTCAAGAGTTAAAATACAAACAGAGCTGTGTAAGGGAGTAAAGCGCCAAACACAAGTCAAGCTCGTATGCATTGGAAAGGATTCAGGACTTCTAAGCCGTTGAAAACAAATTATTGACTTTCAGTTGAAATAAGGAAACGAAAAGGAGCGAAATACAAGGCTTGTATACGTGTTTTAAACGGACAGACTAGCTATTGCGTAGTTAGAAATGTCGTTTCGACAAGGTGGACGAAGGACTGAGGTTCCAGCAGCCCTCCTAAAAAGGAAAATAAGCGGGAAGATTGTCGAAGTTTTACTTCCAAAACACAGCACGATGAAACCTCAACAAGGACATATCATCGTCCAAGCCAAAACTGTTTGTTTACAAATGGGAGATTATAACAACTTTCATTTTGATGTCGTTGACCTCGGTATGTCCGATGATGTTTCCGAACTGCTCACGAAAGTATCCGACGATGATGAATTGGTTATTCGTGTCTTACGGAGATATGGTGAACCTGAAGAATTTATCTTGAAAAGAAATGCAAGCGTGATTTGTCCATCGATTAACATTTGTGCAGACTTTTTCAGGATTATTCCACCATCAGATGAAAAGCCTAATACAGACTCTTCCTTTGGGATTACAGTTGACTCTCAAATCCACACCAGCGATGCTCAGATCGGAGACTGGAATAAAGCTATTATTAAACCCCGAGAGGGATTTTGCGATGTGTTTGACAGTACTCGGCCAATCCTTCGTGTGCTACGGTCGCCTCCGAAGTTTGTTTCAGTTTCTCTTAATATAAAAGATTTTCCAAACTTCAAGAGGGATCATCGGGTAGTGCTTAAAATTTGCAAGAATCGCTTTGATGGCAGAGCTTTTGAATACTGCTTTGAGGATAAAATAAAGAGGCAACAGGGAATAATCTTTTGTAAAAGCTTACGTGGCTTATCTTTGGCCGGATCGAAGAAAATGAAAGGTTTCTATGATGTTGACGTGACGGTAACAGAAAGAAGTCAAAATGAGAAAATGGAAGTCAAAGAAGGAGTGATGTTCATACGCGATGCTAGTTTCGAAAATCTTCGAGGCTTAGTTGGGTTTTGGTTCCGCTTCCACACCGCAAATAAAAGATACATCATTACTTTTTCATTGTGGGAGAAAGATACTAGAGGTGAGAAAAGTGGGGTCCTTCTGGATGAGGTACACATCGATGCTGAAACAGGCGAGCGAAAGCGTTCACCGCTATCAAGACGCAAAAAACTTTTGTGCCTCGCCGAGGAGGTCCGTGAAGAGGCATCACTTCCGGGTGAAATTCACAGTGAGCCTACGTCACTTCCGGAGGGGAGCCACAAAGCTGTTGAAGGAAGCGAACAGATTTTACCGAACGATAACGGAAGGTTACCGAGCTTGCCCTTTTCGGAAGAAACAGGATTTTCCGGGAAGAAGCTTTGGGAATATAATCACATGACGGCTGGAAAGAGGATTCAAACACCACCTAAAAGGAAAAGACGCAGAAAACTATTATGCCCTGTCACGGGTCCTGCCACGGAGAAACCTGAAGAGACATCACTTTTGGGTGAAATTCACAGTAAGCCTACGTCACTTCCGGAGGGGAGTCACAAACTCGAAGAAAACGAACAGTGTCTGCCCGTTTCGAAAGAAACAAAATTTCCCGGGGAGAACCTTTCGGGATATAATCACATGACGGCTGAAAAACTCAAACAAACACTTGCACCACCTAGCAGGAAAAGTCAACGAAGTCATTTATTTAAAAGGGATTATTGCAATGGTGAAGCGCGGTTACAAGGTCAAACTTCTCAATTTATGTCAAAAGAAATGCCACTTCCGGCGGAAGTTGACGGTTCGGTCTATGAGCAGAGCCTGCGAATTATGGAAGTTTTGGGAGATTTACGCGATAATGGAAAATGGGAAGAATTCGATTGCGAAGCTGATCAGTTGCTTAGAAAATTTTTTGACTGCAATGACCTTCTGATTACTGTCATTCTTGAACAAGGAAAGGCTGCTTGCTTTCGAAACGATCAAACGTCCGCGGAGGATTTTATTAAGAAAGCATCGTTGAAAATTCGGCAGGAATCTTGTAGCTTGGTATCCCTGTGGAAAGGTCGGGCGAATACCTATCTGGCGGAGATTTACGGAAGAGATAAGCTGGCATTTGGTAAAGCACAGCGATGCATCACGTCTGCGAAGAAGTATCTAAAGAACACATCCTACCTTTTAGACCGTGCCTGCCTTGCTTGCGAAGAGGGCAGCCTGCTTCTCCAACAGTCTCACTTATCATCCATGGCGGAAGAATCCAGGCGTTGCTTTGACAGCTCTATCGAGTTATGCAAACTTGGCTTAGAAGAAAGCCCCAACAACCGCCTGCTTCTAAGAACGCACGACCTGGCAGTGACGAAGAAAGCTATGCTTCTTCTGCATTTTTCCAAAGATTACGGACTGAGCGGAAACTTAGTGAATGAAAAAACACTTCTTGAGGCAAGGCAGTGTCTCGAGAGTCTAAAACTCGCCTCCGTTAAGGAAATGACAAAGACTGCACAAGTTCAATACCATTTGGTTCGTTCAGACCAATACTTCCAGGAGCAGCGTACTGTTGATGCTATTTCGCATGCGCAAACTGCATTTGATTTGTCACGTCAGTTTGGCTTTGACACCTGTTCTGCAGCTGAAGTTCGCCTGAATTTTTTATTGAAGTTTCCCAATTCCAGTTGAACCTATAGCGATGAAAAGAACTTGGCAGAGTAGCAGTTATATTTATTTATTTGATATATTAATATATTTGCGAAGTAAAGTTGTCATGAAATAGTATAAGTTTCGTGTTTATATTCAGAAGCTCTTATTTGAAAAATGTGTAACAAATGTGAAAAAAGCACTCAAAACTGTTTCCTGAATTAAAAGAGTAGTTTTTCTCGAATAAAGGACCGTTTTGTGCGGTCAGGTCTGGTCTTTTTTTCCTGACAGAGAACATTTCATGAAATTTCAAAATTCTATGATACTTCTTTAAAATGTTTAATACTAATACTTAATTTGACAGAAAGGTAAAAACAAAACGATGGGTATTTTTCCGAGATTGTCATTAAAAAAAAATAATTGAATAGTGATGATGATGAAGATGATGATGCTGATGATGATGATAATGATTATGATGATAATCATGCCATTTGGCCGCTTATTATTTATTTTGGCGGCCATACCGTGACGCTATACCCGATAGCTTTTGCGCTGCCTCGAAAATCATACGGGAGAGGGCTTCTGTTCACACGCAAGTTAAGAACGGTTGTGGCGGCGTGATTTCTGTGACGGAGAAAAGCTGACTCCCTGCTCCGCGCCGATCTCAAAAGTGGAGCGTCACATATCGAATAGGTTTTGTGCCATTAACGTTGGTGCAGTGTGAGCACCTATTCGGCCCGTGGCGGAAGTAATAATAAGTAGGAGCGAGGCCTTGTACCCACTGAGACGGAAGTAAATATTCAGGAGTGAGGACTGGAAGTAAGTGCACCAAAGCCTCTCGGCCTTCCGCCAACCGAGCCGGCACGATGTTGGATGTGTACTGTGAACAACACCGCGGCAAAACGCACTGCGCATGAGCACAAAATTAAACATCCGGTCAGTTTTTAATTTCCGTTCTAGTATATAAACCAATTGCGTAAGCAAAACTTTGCCGTCGCGCCAAGTTTAATTTAAAAGCAAAAAGGGAGAAACAGACAAAACAGGGGGCGAAAAAAACACTTCATTTGATAGCTTATATATTTTTCTAGTGTCAAACTTTTGCACCACATGGTTATCTGGTTGCACCAACGGTGAAAATGATGTTTCAAGTTTGTACGTCGCTAGCGCTCGACGTGACGAAGTTGTTTTTATTGGCTTTCTTGCATGCTACTGGTTTGGCATAAGTTAATTTCGGGGAGATCGAAGGCGATAACTAAGAAAAGAATAGCAATACTTATGAAAGAAACCAAAAAAAAGACGTCATTATTGTCATTAACTCTAGAACCAGGAAATATAAGTTTAGTCCGTTCAATCAAAGAAAACAAGAACTGGCTTTGGAGGTGTGGAAAAGCGCCCTGGGGACGAGGTTGCCCAGGCCGTTGATGTTCATACATATACTATACCCGAAAGCAGTTTTCGTGGTGCCACGAAAAGCTATGCGATATCTAGTGTGAGGATAGTCTGAGTGAAATTGCGTGAAAAACATGAATTGATAATACATTACCAAGTTTTGTTATTTGCTCGAAGCGCTCTCTTTGAATGTTTTTAATCATGTTAGCGAGCCAAGATTGTCAATGGTCATTGTTACATACACCTCCTTGTTCCGACCACGTGTTGGGCAAATTACTTTCAAACTTTCTTGCCTTATCACCGCATGTGTGAGTTTTAAAAATACACGCTTTTAGTGACGAGAACCAGCAGGAGCATGACCGGCTATTGAAAACCGCCCAGCCCACGAAGAAAATCAAACTCGACGAACCATGCCGAAGGCCGGCCGAAGCCGCAGACAGATAGAAAGAATTGCCCAACAATGAAAATTACTGATTTTGACGTCAAGTATGAACAGAGTGGCAGAGGTAAAAATCATTTAATATCCAAAACACGGACGGACTTGCGTTTTGGTCAATATGTCAGGGGACTTCGTTTAATCCAGCCATTAATTTTCTAGAAAGGAGAAAGTCCTCCATTTGGCGAAGACAACCTAAGTTTAGCTATTTCGACGGTTTATTTGTTAACAATTCTATGGCAACTGAACTGATATCCCGTCATGATTTTCTACTGAACAGCGAATACAAAATGTTCTTTCTGCTGGGTGATTGTCTATGTTTAATTGGAGCACAGATGCATAACCAATGCTCCTTGATGCCTTCGGCACAAGTTAAAGTTTAATTGATGGTTGTCCAGAACAGGAGGGAGCGGGGAGGGATCCAATTTGCCATGAGATTTTGGTTTTGAGGTCTGCCCAGTTCGTGGATTTTGCTTTTAAAACGCCCCCTGTTCGTGTTCCAACGTATTGAACGGTTGTCTATGTTTCCATTTTAGGCAAAGTGCGCTTTTTGGTTTGTAAACATTATCACGTTTTCATGTCTAGCCGGATTTTAAAAAACTTTAACCCCAAATAGACTTCTTCCGTCAAACAGTATAAACCAGCCATGGATTTTCTTTTCTCTTCTGGGCCTCCTTTCTTCGTCCTCGCTCTTTGTGTTTGTCCTTTACTTTGCCTTTGCTACACTGTGATTTTCGAGCTTTTTGGGCGCAAGAAAAACCTGCCTTTCGGCCCTTTTTTACTAAAATTTTACTGCAAATTTCGTCAGGTTCTTTTGTAAAAAAAATCGGATGGATATTTGCCTCTGTTTTTTTGCTATGTAAGTCCATGATTAACAAAGCTACGGGTATCGTATTTCAGCTACAAACTTAAGATGAAACTGAAGACATCATGAGATGTTACAAGCATGAATTTTTTTTGTAAGTTTTACGGAGCTGAGGGACATCAACGTCCGTGAGCTTCGGAAATCAGAGCGAAAGGTGTTTTCATCCGATCTCGATGCAAAATGATAAACACAACAAGCCGGACTGAAAAATATTTTCTATGTTTCTGCAGTGCAAGAGGCATTGTTTTTATGGGTTGTAACTAGGGACGTACATCATTAAGTGAATATGGTCATGATGTGTGTTTGAGAGTTGAAATGCAAGATGAGGAATTGTATGTGAAGAATCATCACTTTGCTTTCATAAAAATTACAATGCTTGTGCTTGATTGCCGCACAGATCGAGGCCGCACGTGAACGTGTTCTGAGCGAAGAGTTCATCGCAAAAGGCGAGAAGTGTCTAAAGACACTGGAAACCAACTGGTCGCAGATCGCAGAAGGAGTCACAGTTCAGTTCTACCTGGCAAGTTCAGACTTAGAATACATTGTACCGAAAGAGAAACTATCAAAACGAGCGTGCGGGGAACCCCCGAACAGTGACGTCATTTAAGGGTTCTCTGCTTAAGAGTGAAATATTTTAAGGCCAAACACGGCAAGTCAAGTTCGTATGCTATTGGAAACGAGTCGGGGCTTCTAAGTCGTCTAAAACAAATTATTGTCTTTCAACTGAAAGAAGGAAACGGAAACGAGCGAAATACGAGGTTTGTATATGTGTTTCAAACGGACAGACTGGCTATTGCGTAGTAAGAAATAATGCTTCGACAAGCTGGATGGAGGACTTTGGCTCGTGAGTTCCTCTCAAAAAGTAAAATAAGAGGACATGTAGTGGAAGTTTTACTGCCCAAATGCAAGAAGAACAATGGCGAAGAACCCTTACTGCTGAAACATCGACAAGGACATATTATCGTCAAAGCCCAGACTGTTTGTTTGCAATTGGGAGATCATAACAATTTGCACGTTAATGTCGTTGACCTCGCGATGCCCGATGATATTTCCGAACTGCTCACGAAAGTATCCGACGACGACGAATTGGTTATTCGTATCTTACCGAGATACGGTGAACCTGAAGAATTTATCTTAAAAGGAGATGCAAGCGTGATTTGTCCATCGATTAACATTTGTGCAGACTTTTTCAGGATTATTCCACCATCAGATGAAAAGCCTGATATAGACTCTTCCTTTGGGATTACGGTTGATTCTCAAATCCACACCAGCGATGCTCAGATCGGAGACTGGAATAAAGCTGTTATTAACCCCCGAGAGGGGTTTTGCGATGTGTTTGAGAGTACTCGGCCAATCCTTCGTGTCCTATGGTCGCCTCCGAAGGTTGTTTCAGTTTCTCTTAATACAAACGAGTTTCCAAACTTCGAGAGAGATCATCGGGTAGTGCTTGAAATTTGCAAGAATCGCTTTGATGGCCTAGCTTTTGAATACTGCTTTGAGGATAAAATAAAGAGGCAACAGGGAATAATCTTTTGTAAAAGCTTACGTGGCTTATCTTTGGCCGGATCGAAGAAAATGAAAGGTTTCTATGATGTTGACGTGACGGTAACAGAAAGAAGTCAAAATGAGAAAATGGAAGTCAAAGAAGGAGTGATGTTCAAACGCGATGCCAGTTTCGAAAATCTTCGAGGTTTAGTTGGATTTTGGTTTCGTTTCCACTCCGCCAATAAAAGATACATCATTACTTTTTCATTGTGGGAGAAAGAGACTAGAAGTCAGCAAAGTGGGATCCTTGTGGATGAGTTGCACATTGCTGTCGAAACAAGCAAACGAGAGCGTCCACGACCATCAAGAGACAGAAAACGTTTATGCCCCAACATGGTGGTCCGTGAAGGGGAATCAGTTTCAGGTAAAATTCACAGTAAACCTACGTCACTTCCGGAAGGAAGTAATGAAGCTGTTCAAGGAAGCAAACAGTTTTCACCGAAAGATAACAGAAATCAACCATGCTTGTCCATTTCGGAAGAAACAATATTTTCCGGAGAGAAGCTTCCGAGATGTAATGACGTAGCGGCTGTAAAACGTAAAAAAGCATCACCTAAAAGGAAACGACACAGAAAATCTTTATGGCCCGCCAAGGAGATCCCTGAAGAGACATCACTTCCGGGTGAAATTAACAGTAAGCCTACGTCACGT